CATGTTAAGCTTAATTTGATTTTATAAGTCTATCACAGTATGTCCAAAATAAAAAAAAAATATATATAATTGTGTAAAATAGCTGTATGTAGGCTACAACTCCTGCCCGGTTTTTCAACACTAATATCTCGCATGTGTAGCTGTACCAGTATGATATAAAAAAGCTTTTTTAAATTATTAAGTTATATTACAATACAATGACCCCAAATACGTTTTTCATCTTGCTTTATAAATTTGATTTATTTGGGAAGGGTGCCAAATAAAAGTGATGTCATCGACAGTCTCAGATAATGAAATATAGATCTAGATTCTAGACCTAGATGTCTAGTAGGCCTAATTAGTTAGTAATTAGTAATGATTAGGCCTAAGTAATGTTCTTGCTGAACTAGAATTGGAAATTCAATAAGAATCTTAGATTCTAGATTACTAGATTTGTATTCTCGAATCTAGAGTTCTAGTTCTAGACTCTCCTAGAAATCTAGAAGTTTACTGTTAAGCTAGCCGCTTATGCTAGATTTAGAATATTAGATCTATTTATTACTAGATTTTAGATAGTAGACATCGATCTAGATCTAGACTAGGATTGGTACGTTCGTCGGACTCGATGACATACATCAGGTTCACAATTTCACATCATACTGTCGTAATGCCTAATAAATATAACTAATAGTCCTATACTATTACTATTATTATTTATTAAGGCTAATAAGTAGAATCTAGGCGTATTATATACTACTATATTACTATATTATTATTAAGGCTACCTACTACTAGAGTTATAACTAGAGTTAGAGGACTAGTATTACTAGTAACTACTAACTAGAGTCTAAAATTGATTTAATTTTAAAGATATAAATCTAGAATTAATTTTAGATCTAGAATTAATTCTAGATCTAGACTACAATCTAGATCTACTTTTCATTCACTTGGAAATGCCAGAAGAAGTCGTCTGCTAGGATTGCTAGGTTGAAAGCCTAGTCGTTAAAAATGTAGTTGATTGTATCGAAGTATCGATACTTTCAAAACGTTCCGAATTTCACAATACTAGTACTAGATTTGACAGAAACTAATTTTACCCTATCTTTTAGAATTAATACTATAAAATGAATCTTAATGTATAGATCTAGTTAGTAATAGTAATAATGAACTATCTCCTACATAATAGCAAAGGCAACGTATGTGAGATCAGTGTTTCTTCCAGACTTTTTTCTCCGGGGGGGGGGGGGCACTTGAAATCTTCGGGGGGGGGCGGACACTGTTAAAAGTATATAATTTCTATATAAATTATATAAATTTCATTTCGTTCGGGGGGGCGGTAAAAATTTTTCGGGGGGGCTGGAAGAAACTCTGTGTGAGATTTGCTTGTTGTTGTTGTGGTTCTCGATACATCCGGATATTACACATCTGACCAGATTTTTATTTGTAAATAGAAAATGAATGTGAAAACGAAATAAAAAAACATTGTATTTCAAAACTTAGGCCTAATTCACATTACACATTACCAGTCTAGCGATCAGGTTTTATTGTTATTGGTTTTAATTTTTTTAGCGTTTCTACGCCGTTTGCTTTGATTTTTTAAATATTTATTTTTTAATCTGGAATTTCCATTCAATAGTTGCTAAAACGTTGTTTACCGATGGAGGAGTGACTGATGTCTGAGCTCTGTACTGAAAGCAGATTTTATTTTAAAAGTTAGGCCTACATAACATCACGTAGATCTAGGCCTACTCAAGTGGTCGCCCATTCATGTTGGTTCGGATAGTGTAACGAAGGGTAGGGAAATGTCTTTTTAAAAGTGTGAAGTCACACTTAAACCATTAAAAAAAATTAAACAGAAATTTAAAAGTTTGTTTTTAAATAATACGTTCTGGTTTCCTGGTAACTTATCAGATTTGACCGCCGAATCTAACTAGATCTAACTAATGTTGGAGTGGATTTGCTTACATTTTTTATTAATTTAAATAGAGATTAGAGTTGTTTTTTTTTCTTTTCCAGCTAAATGAACGTAGTTAGCATAATCGTCATCCATTTTTGACGTCATCCAACATTTAGAACTTTTGACCCAACACCCATCCACATGCATCTACTTTTGACGAACACCAACCAACCCACCATTCCACAAAACGTAGACTCTAGATCTAGATCAGGGGTTCCCAACCCCGTGCCCGCGGGCGCCATGGCGCCCGCCGAACGATTCGTTCGTGCCCGCCTCTCACTATTCGACAGAGACAGAATTTTTTTTCATAAACATTATTGAAAGGTTGAAGGGGGTGCAAATCGAAAGTTTTGTCCCCGGGTGACGGGAAGGGTCGCTACTTCTCTGGAAGGAGTTTGTCGATTTAAAATAGGTGGTGCCCGCCACCCTACCTATATTTTAGAATGTGCTCTAGAGTAAAAAAAGGTTGGGAACCCCTGATCTAGATCTAGTAGATGTCTCAAAACTTACTTTTAATTCACTACTTCAATAACAGGCATTGTTAACTATTATATTCTAGCTGATATACTCAGATATACGGATAAAGGCAACTAATAAATTTAAACAGTTTAGCAATTAGTATTTTAGCTCTACACTCTATCAGTAATATAGTCAAACGGTAAACGCGTCGAGCGTAATTTTAATTTAAAACAAAAACAAATGTAGAGGGTTAGGCCTATTTTAGGTATAATACATGTAACTTATGTAAATTACTAAACTTTTCAATAATGTGTTTTTAAATAGGTTTCGATTTGTAAAAACGCTAGGCTTATAAGTTATCTAGATCTAGGTCTAGAAAACAAATTGAACAATTCTGTTTTAATTTAAGTTACGAAAACAATGAAACTAGAAGGATAAGCAATAATTAACCTAACGTTGGGTAAATTTTGAATTATCAAATAACACATCTAAATTTAATCTAATGTTAAGGTAATGAATGTCACAAATAAGCTCACCTTTAAACCTCTAATATTTTCTTGTGATCAGCTTGAGATGTTATGAGTGAAGTGACTGAGTCTATGGAGGTACATGTCCCTATACAAGGTGTGTCACCATGACAACCAGATCAACACTGTCTGTGCCAAATTGTGTAGGGTCTTTACGTCAGCTTTTTTCGGGAATTTTTTCTTCATTTATTTTAGAGCACGTTACGCTCTAAATGTCACCAACAAACAAAAATAAAATCAATAAATCAATGTGGTAGGCCGTGTTAACGCCAAAGTTCAAACGTCAGCAGCGGGTCTAAAACTTCTGCCAAAATTAACTACGTCACACAACGGGGTCTCGAGTAAAGACACCGGGGGGGGGGGTCATAGTGAAGTAGAGTCATATGGCCGCTTGCAGAAAAGGCGGGGGTAGATAGGTTTAATTACCTGTAAATTTCACACTTGAAATTTAACATTCTCACACTGCTACGTAAAAAACCAACCAAAAACATATCTATATATTATTTTTTCAAAAAAAAAAAACGGCGATTACTTTATTAAATGCCCAATCAGATTCATCGACTTAAATAATACAATTTAAAATACCGGTTATTGGTATTTTAAGAATTACGTTATTCCCTTTTTAATTAAGACAAAAAATATTATTTCTTAGTTGTCCGTGCCTTTATTAGTAAGTAATGTAATGAATACAATCATTAATTGTTACTTTTGGTGGACTGTAGATCTAATTATAATCGGATCAACAGATTAACATATTGTTAAAGCTGACTTAGAAAAAGCAACAATAGGTTGGAACCATTGGCGTTCGTTGTTATTTTCCACTTCGTACCAACTGTAGGGGTAGATTTTAAAAAATTGAATCAATGAGCCTAAAAAAATAACAAAGCTGTAAACGACACAAATAATAATGCATTAAACGTTTAAATTAGCAACATGATCTACCCTTAGAAGAAATGTTTGTTGTGGAAATAAGTTAATAAATTATGTGTTCTCTACTTTCATAACTAAAGGGGTGGTTTACAAATTAATATATCATTATTGCCGTCTTTAAATAAATGTATGTCTAACATTTAGGGCAAAAAGAACATTGTTCTCTAAATACATACATATCTCAAAGTTCTACACATGGTGCAGAGGCTCTGTTCAAGCGGAACCGACGGGGAAAAAAAAACAACTAAAAAATATGCAAAAATGTAAACCCTTGCGAGTTTTAGTAGAATATAGATTGTTTTGTTAACATATTTACCATTAGAATATAAATTATTTTGTTAACATATTTACCACTGTCGCTACCCCAGGATAAGAAGATGGGGGAATCAGTTCAAGTGGAGCAGCCTCTACAACCAGATCATTGGATGGACTAAATAGGTAGGAGGGGCGGGGGCGCGGTTTACATGAACCTACATCTATCATGAAATTTACAACATCTGCTGTTGTGTAAAATAATTAATTTCACATTTTTCCCTCTAAGACAGGGGTAGGCACATTGCGGCCCGCGGGCAAAAGAGATTTTATTTTGTGACGAGACTTGTGATGGTGGTTGAGCCACTGTTAAAGTTGGATTGGTTAACCTTGTGCACGTGACTATCTTCTACAGCCTATTCGTTACCGTTTCATTAAACAGGGAATCTTCATGTTTTATAAAAATTATATTGGCAGAAACATAGGCCTACTTAAGATAAACAATTTGGTCTTTTATAAATAAAAGATACACAGTTACATGTCATTTTTATGGAAACACGTAAAGCATTGGTAAAATAAATTGTTTTTAATAAAAAAAAAACTTCTCTTGTTTAATTTTCACGTGTTTTTTCATAAACTAGGCGCACAATATGTATGTGTGAGCGTGTGTGTGTGAATGTATTTGATGTGAGACAATAGTGAGACAATGGTGATTCACTCATCTAATACAAACACACACTATTACACACCTAATCCAATACAAATGTAATAAGCAACACACTCTGGAACACCCAACAAGGTCCACAAATAATAAACACTTTAAACATATCGACACACACGACAACACACTTGACACATAGTTTCTCACCATACAGCCACATAGCACCAAACTTGATGCTGTACATATCGTGTCTTAGGCCCACACTAAACATTCAGTGAACAAACGTCCTTGACCTTCCCCATTTCATCTTCATCCATGTTGGAGGAGCCCGACACCTTACTGTAAAACTTCTGGAGAACGGTCCCTGTAGATGGCTCCTGCCCTGTTTGAAATATACAAAAACAAAGGTCTACGGTAATACTTTTTGTCGCAGTTAAGTTTGGTTAAATACACAGAAGCAAAGGTTTACGGTAAAACATTTTATCGCACGCAATTTTGGTTAAATACACAGAAACAAAGGTTTACGGTAAAACATTTTGTTACTCATTTGTTTGGTTAAATACACATAAACAAAGGCTTACGGTAAAACATTTTGTCCCCCGTGACTTTGGTTCAATACACAGGAACAAATATATCCCCGTCCGATTTCTTTTTGTCTTTCTAGACCTGCTAGTGAGCAGAGTTTCTTCCAGTCTACTGCCCCCCGAACGAGATGGATTTTATATAGTAAACATACACTTTTACTAGTGTCCGCCCCCCCCACCCCGAAAATTTCAAGTGACCCCCTCTCCCCCCCCCCCCCCAGAGAAAAAGGTCTAGAAGACTTTACTACAGCACCTGCTGAGTGATGTGATTTACTGTCTTTCTGATATGGTGCCTTAACCACCAATTTTTCCATGCTTATATTTTATTCTCCACTGTCAGTAACCGAGCTCCGAGCCATACAGTAAAAGAGACTTCACATTTAGCTATAGATCCTGATTGAATTGTTTTTGACAATGACAATGCATTTGAATTCCACATTGTCTTAGAGTGTTAAAACGCATTTTATTGCTGCTGATTATAATCAGAACGTCCTGTGCGGTGCCACTATCATTAAACTGGTTATTACTGTTTCTTCAACCAGTACAGTTAGTTCTGCATTTGTTGTCGACTGTACGAGAAGGCAGCGCGAAATCCAAGACTTCGAGCTGTTATATCCGTTGGATTCCAGTTTGTTTCCTCTAGCTTGTTTCGTTATACCATCAACCAGTCAACGAAATACGTACGTCGTATTCCATGACGAACAATACATGTTTCTGATAAGTTGCTATTGTATGTCACTTGTTTGTCCTTATTCTCAATCTAATAATACCAACTATGTACCATATCACAACTGAGATCGTTCCAACATAAAAGGCTGGTCTAAACAAATTAGCGCTTGCTACAAGCCACTCTCTAACTCAGATCAGGCATATTTTGTCTTTTACTGACATTACTAATCTTTTGTAAACAGAAACGCATCTTAGGGAATTTAATTGGCGTAAAGTGTTAAGGAACGAAAATCATACACTGTAATCATTAATACCTTTTCCGGACTGTCGCACACACGCTTACACACACACACATACACGCTTACACAAACACACACACACGCTTATACACACACGATTACACACGCGATTATACACACATGTATATATGTATTTATATATAATATATACACACACACAGGTGCTATGAAGGTAAGGGCTATTATACAAGGTTATTTGAGAGTAACGGGCCATTGGCCACTGGTGCCCTCTAGATAGGTGCTTTGTCTAAGAGTGTTTTGTCCACGTACGGTTTTTATGATATCAATAGACGTCACGGTGTTAAGTCGCTTAAATAGATCGAATGTAGCAAACTAAAACAATTGACAAAAGTCTATGAGCTGCCGTACAATTACACTATAAACATTGCCAGTGGTTTTATAAAGCTGATGTTGTTTGTTTACAAGTTATTTTACTGTGTGTAATATGAAATCAAGACACAACAACCAAGGTGAGACAACTTCCGATTTACGTTGGCGAAAATACGTCCCATTTTAGGAAAGAAAATGGAGCAATTTTATCTGACCGTTGGCAGTTTACGTGCGGGACTATGTAGTTTTATTTACTTGTGTGTAACTTTCAACCAACCATGCATGGTTAAGCTATTATATTATGATCGCTATAACCAAACCAATGTTTTCTATACAAATCCTGTCTACACTACCTCCATGTTTTCCATACAAATCCTGTCTACACTACCTCCATGTTTTCTATACAAATCCTGTCTACACCAATGTTTGCTATACAAATCCTGTCTACACCAATGTTTTCTATACAAATCCTATCTACACCAATGTTTTCTTTACAAATCCTGTCTACACCACCCACATGTTTTTCATACAAATCCTGTCTACACCAATGTTTTCCATACAAATCCTGTCTACACCAATGTTTTCCATACAAATCCTGTCTACACAAATGTTTTTCATACAAATCCTGTCTACACCAATGTTTTCTATACCAATCCTGTCTACACTAATGTTTTCTATACAAATCCTGTCTACACTAATGTTTTCTATACAAATCCTGTCTACACCACCTCAATGTTTTCTATACAAATCCTGTCTACACCACCTCCATGTTTTCTATACAAATCCTGTCTACACCACCTCTATACAAATCCTGTGTCTGAAATGAACCCACTGACTGTACCAGCCAACCCTTGAATCCACAGGGTGATGAAGGACCCAGAGGCCTGCCCGGCCCACACGGCCCACCTGGGGCTCCTGGCCAACCTGGACCTGTAGGGCCATCTGGTGTTGATGGCACCCCTGGGAGAAATGGACTGCCTGGTGCAAAGGTAATTTCTTGGTCGCTGGTTGTCAGCTCTCATGACACTCACACATGTCAGCTGTCATGACACTCACACACTGTTAGTTAATGTCACAGGCTGTCAGCTCTCATGACACTCACACACTGTCAGCAAATGTCACATGTCACAGGCTGTCAACTTAATGACATGTCACACACTGTCAGCAAATGTCACATGTCACAGGCTGTCAACTTAATGACATGTCACACACTGTCAGCTAATGTCACATGTCACAGGCTGTCAAACGACATGTGACACACTGTCAGCTCTCATGACACACACACTGTCAGCAAATGTCACATGTCACAGGCTGTCAGCTTTCATGACACTCACACACTGTCAACTAAATGACAAGACACACATTGTCAGTTAAATGACATGTCACAGACTGTCCGCTCTCATGGCACTCACACAATGTCAGCTGTCATGACACTCACACACTGTCAGTTAAATGACATATCACAGGCTATCAGCTGAAGTGACAAGTCAAAATGTCAGTTAAAGTGTTGTGTCATAGGCTGAAGCACAAGCCAGCTATGTTAGGTCTGGCCGCCTCTATTTCCAGGCGTGCTTGTGTTTCTACCAAGTTAATTGTTCACTTTAAATCTGTGTTATGTGTGACACAAAATTAAGGTCATTTAAAATCTGTGTTATATGTGACACAAAATTAAGGTCATTTAAAATCTGTGTTATATGTGACACAAAACTAAGTTCACTTTAAATCTGTGTTATGTGTGACACAAAATTAAGTTCATTTAAAATATGTGTTATTTGTGACACAAAATTAAGTTCATTTAAAATCTGTATTATGTGTGACACAAAATTAAGTTCATTTAAAATCTGTATTATATGTGACACAAAACTATCATAATTATTATTTTATAAATCCAAATAAAGGTCTTGTCTTGTGTTTCTAAAAACCTAAGGTCTTGTGTTTATAAAAACTTAAGGTTTTTGTTTATAAAATCCAAAAGTCTTGTGTTTTTAAAAACTAAATTCTTGTTTTTATAAAATTGAAATTATCATAGCTGACCCAAAGCCAGTCTAACACTGACCTTTGACCTTGCAGGGCGAAAGAGGTCGAGATGCAGAGTTCCCACCCAACTGGAAAGAAGAGCTCAAGGGAGATAAGGGTGATGTAGGACCTGTAGGACCACCGGGACCTCCGGGACAAATCATTGAAACATCTGGCTCAGTGGCTGTAAGTTTGGCTTCACAACCGTATGGCTGCAGCTAGTGATAAGGGGTGTCTTGTTTTTAAACAAATGTAACCACTTCATAGCTAATCATTTCTTCTACGTTTGTAATTGTAATGTTGGTCAGGATTTCCTACACCACAGTTAAGTATTACGTGTCAACATGTTATGTGCCATATGGCCCATTGTCTCCGATTATTTTTTCTGGATTTGCTTCCATAGCCATTGTCCATCTAAGAACAAACTACAAGACAGCAGTTGTTTGATTTTGGAGTTGTCTCTCCTAGATGGGTTGCTGTCCCCAGCTATTGAGCCTCATTTGCTGTGGGGGGGGGGGGGGTCACTGTAGCTAGATTTTTCTATCATAATTATGACAGTCATGCAATAATTGATTGAACCTTTCCATATCAAGCCATGATTTCTAACAAATGTGATATTTCTAACAAATGTGATATTTCTAACAAATGTGACATTTTTAACAAATGTGATATTTCTAACAAATGTGACATTTTTAACAAATGTGATATTTTTAACAAATGTGATATTTCTAACAAATGTGATATTTCTAACAAATGTGATATTTTTAACAAATGTGATATTTCTAACAAATGTGATATTTCTAACAAATGTGATATTTCTAACAAATGTGATATTTCTAACAAATGTGATATTTCTAACAAATGTGATATTTCTAACAAAAGTGATATTTCTAACAAATGTGATATTTCTAACAAATGTGATGTTTCTAACAAATGTGATATTCCTAACAAATGTGATATTTCTAACAAATGTGATATTCCTAACAAATGTGATATTTCTAACAAAAGTGATATTTCTAACAAATGTGATATTTCTAACAAATGTGATATTTCTAACAAATGTGATATTCCTAACAAATGTGATATTTCTATTGCTAGTCTCTGCCTGGCCCCCGAGGTCCACAAGGTCTACCAGGCCCACAAGGTTTACCTGGACCACAGGGACCACAAGGTTTTGTAGGACCGGCAGGATCTCAAGGTCCTAAGGTGAACTGACCCTAATATTTTGTCCTATTATTGTGTTCAGTTTGATTCATTACAATTAGCTACATTTACAGTCAATTGCTCAATGCCTAGACAAAGGATTTCAATAGGGCATTCAATATCTAGACACAAACTTCTAATAGGTCATTTAATAACAAGAATAAGGGTTTAACATTTTCAAATGAAAACAATCTACAGTGTTTCTTTCAGACTTTTTTTCTCTGGGTGGGGGGGCACTATATATTTTTTTGGGGCGGACTAAATTTTCCAAGAGGGGGAGGAGGACATCTACTTTTTACATATAATACTAAAAATGACTTTTTTAAGTAGGTGAAAGACAAGAGGAATTATCCTTGTGATTAGACTAAAATCAACATTGTAGGTTCTAGTGGAAGCCATTGGGGGAATGGTGTTGACAATGACCTTGACATTTCAATACACTGTAAACCCAGTTGTTTTATTGGTCTAACCACCTGTTTACAGGGTGAGCGTGGTATGGTAGGACCTGCCGGTCCTCCAGGACCTCCTGGTCCTGCAACGGTGGTGAGCAGCGACACAGGGATTGCAGTTGGTGGTGTGGTGGTGAGTTCATCTTTTGTTGGTGGTGTGGTGGTGAGTACATCTTTTGTTGGTGGGGTGGTGGTGAGTACATCTTAGACTTTTGTTGGTGGGGTAGTGGTGAGTACATCTTTTGTTGGTGGTGTGGTGGTGAGTACATCTTTTGTTGGTGGGGTGGTGGTGAGTACATCTTTTGTTGGTGGGGTAGTGGTGAGTACATCTTAGACTTTTGTTGGTGGGGTAGTGGTGAGTACATCTTTTGTTGGTGGTGTGGTGGTGAGTACATCTTTTGTTGGTGGGGTGGTGGTGAGTACATCTTTTGTTGGTGGGGTAGTGGTGAGTACATCTTTTGTTGGTGGTGTGGTGGTGAGTACATCTTTTGTTGGTGGATTGGGTGGTGGTGAGTACATCTTTTGTTGGTGGGGTGTTGGTGAGTACATCTTAGACTTTTGTTGGTGGTGTGGTGGTGAGTACATCTTTTGTTGGTGGGGTAGTGGTGAGTACATCTTTTGTTGGTGGGGTAGTGGTGAGTACATCTTTTGTTGGTGGGGTGGTGGTGAGTACATCTTAGACTTTTGTTGGTGGTGTGGTGGTGAGTACATCTTTTGTTGGTGGGTAGGGTAGTGGTGAGTACATCTTTTGTTGGTGGGTGGTGTAAGTCAACCCATTCAGACATCACTGGGCTGATTCTATCTGTAAACTTGACAGGGACCAAAAGGAGAGCCAGGTCCTCAAGGACCTCCAGGACCTGCAGGACCTAGAGGATTCCGAGGACCTCAGGGAGAAATGGGCCTGCCTGGTTTTGTGGTACGTCCTCAGTAAACTTCCTCATGGCATATACTGTAAACCTCCTGATCTTCCACTCATAATATCTACTGTAAACCTCCTGATCTTCTGATCATGACATCTACTGTGAACCTCTCTAAAACAAGGTTCCTCGCCTAACTTACTGTAAACCTCTCTAAAACAAGGAACCTCCCCAAACCTACTGTAAACCTCTCTAAAAAAGAATCCTCCCCTAACTTTTTGTTTCTAATACACACAGGGCAGGAACGGAGCACAAGGTAAAAAAGGTGAGCCAGGTGTTGGCATCAAAGGTGAACCAGGTGTCAGCATCAAGGGAGAAAAGGTAAGTTTTTCCTCATCTTACATGTAATGCTTACATCAGTTGAAGATTCAACATTTGTTGTATGTTTGCGGTGGGGCTCAATATATTTTTTAATGAGAACTTGAATGGGAATAATAACTTTTAGCTTTACGTTGATAAACAAAAAAACATGCCATTTTCTTTAAATTGGTAACTTTATAAAGTCATATTTAAATTGAGTTTTTTTAATCTGGTGAAGTCACATTTTTAAATATGATAAACTTGATGTTGTAATGAGTTATTGATTTTGATGAAAATCAAAATTTTAAAAAATCTGATGAACTGTTGTAGGGCAGCCCAGGAGACAGAGGACTGCGAGGTTTTGTGGGCCCAGCTGGACCACCAGGGCCACCGGGGACAGTTGCTGACGGCCTCACTGTTCCCAGCTGTAAGTCGTGCCCTACACTGCTAAACCCAATGCATAGGTCAAGGTCATAGCCATCCCACCTGCCTGTCATAACCATCCCACCTGCCTGTAAATTACCCCTTGTCATTTCCCACCACCTTCATATTCTCAGATCAATCACCCCGTCAATGACCACCTATCCCATTAACATATATATTATGCCTATCATTATCCAACACCTCAAGCAGCTCCTTATTTCTACCCCTAACCGTATTCTTAACTCTGTCCTTAACTTTAACCTCATCCTAAACCCTAACACTATCTTAAACATTATCCATTCCCCTATCCCTAACCCTATCTGAACCTTAAGCTATCTGTATGTCTATCTCAGAGGCTAAGCTACCATTTTGGCGCCCAGAGACACTTTCAATTTGGCGTTCCCCCCTCGGGAACAACCTTTCAATTTGCAATTTGCACCCCTCCTCCCTCAAACTTTTAATTTGTCTTTCCAACCCATTTTGGCGCCCCCTAACGTTGGCGCCCGGGGCATATGTACCCCTGCCCCCCCTCTCACTACCCCTCTGGTCTATCTCTAAATGACCAAGAAGTATTTTACAGGGAATAATGTTCTAATGTTTTTTATTTTGACTATTACTCATAATTTCTCCAGCATTACCTCTTGATATTACTTTTGTTTTAATATTTTTTTTCTACATTAAACAATTGCAAATAACATAGTGTTTTCATCAACTCTCTGACCTTTGAACTTTAACCTGGTCAAGTTGACCTTACATCTGATTTAAATTTTTCAGATCTGCCTGGACCAAAAGGTGATAAGGGTGACCGCGGCAAGGACGGCATGCCTGGACTACAGGTTGTAATCTTAGACATAATAGTCTTAACATTTTTTAAAGTTTCATTTGTGGTACTTGAACCCATTCATACAACAAATCCCTTTTACTTATACCAACTTAGCAGTAAATCTCTTATCCCTGTACCATTACAATGGCTAGTCAGACAAAAGTCCAAGTACTTAATGATGTTGTAAAATAAAACGCCATGTCATTTCTAACACCAAGACTGTCTGTCCATTTCAGGGTCTAGAGGGCCAAACTGGGCCACCTGGCCCACCAGGATTACCTGGCCGACCAGGGCCACCAGGTCCAGCAAGCTCATCCAGGCTGGACGATGACCTTCTTATGGGCCCTGAAGGTCCACCAGGGCCCCAAGGTCCACCTGTAAGACACCTGTTTGTTTTTTCATAATTGGGATACTGGTTACTTAACTGACTTAATTAATACAGCAACTAACTTTTGTTAACATTCTTGTTTACTGTAAAATATTTCATTTTTGGTTTTAACTTCATGGTGAGCATAGTTAGAAGTATGGATTTGATTACAAATTCAACATTCTAATTTAGCATATGTTAACATTTAAGTCTTCTGCACTGTATGTTAACACTCAGGTTTTTAGCACCCGTCAACATTCATAGTTTTTGCACAAATTAACATTTAGGTATTTGGCAAATGTTAACATTTAGGTTTTTGGCAAATGTTGACATTCAGGTTTTTGGCAAATGTTAACATTTAGGTTTTTGGCAAATGTTGACATTCAGGTTTTTGGCAAATGTTGACATTCAGGTTTTTGGCAAATATTGACATTCAGGTTTTTGGCAAATGTTGACATTCAGGTTTTTGGCAAATGTTGACATTCAGGTTTTTGGCAAATGTTAACATTCAGATTTAAACTCCACAGGGTCCTAAAGGAGATCGTGGTGAAACAGTAGTAGGACCACGAGGTCCACAAGGTTTTCAGGGCCCACCAGGTCCACCAGGCATTGGTCTGCCGGGCCCACCAGGACCACCAGGGGACGTCATCATTGGCAACAGTGGTAGCTCAGACCGTGTTATTGCTGGGCCCCCAGGCCCACCTGGGCCCCCCGGTCCTCCAGGTTATTCATTTGGATATGACAGTAACCAGAGCCAAATACCCATTGGTCAAACAGTGGGTGCTGGTGGCGTCAAGGTGAGTGTGGTGACAGTGAATTTAGTGGGGTGAATATGTGAGTGATGTAAGGTGAGGTGACACAGTGGGTGTGAGTGGTGTGTAGGTGAGTGTGGTGACACAGTGGGTGTGTGTGGTGTGAAGGTTAGGTGACACAGTGGGTGTGAGTGGTGTGTAGGTGAGTGTGGTGACACAGTGGGTGTGTGTGGTGTGAAGGTAAGGTGACACAGTGGGTGTGAGTGGTGTGAAGGTTAGGTGACACAGTGGGTGTGAGTGGTGTGAAGGTAAGGTGACACAGTGGGTGTGAGTGGTGTGAAGGTAAGGTGACACAGTGGGTGTGAGTGGTGTGAAGGTAAGTGTGGTGACACAGTGGGTGTGAGTGGTGTGAAGGTAAGGTGACACAGTGGGTGTGAGTGGTGTGAAGGTAAGTGTGGTGACACAGTGGGTGTGAGTGGTGTGAAGGTAGGGTGACACAGTGGGTGTGAGTGGTGTGAAGGTAAGGTGACACAGTGGGTGTGAGTGGTGTGAAGGTAAGGTGACACAGTGGGTGTGAGTGGTGTGAAGGTAAGGTGACACAGTGGGTGTGAGTGCTGTGAAGGTAAGTGTGGTGACACAGTGGGTGTGAGTGGTGTGAAGGTAGGGTGACACAGTGGGTGTGAGTGGTGTGTAGGTGAGTGTGGTGACACAGTGGGTGTGAGTGGTGTGAAGGTAAGTGTGGTGACACAGTGGGTGTGAGTGGTGTGAAGGTAAGGTGACACAGTGGGTGTGAGTGGTGTGAAGGTAAGTGTGGTGACACAGTGGGTGTGAGTGGTGTGAAGGTAGGGTGACACAGTGGGTGTGAGTGGTGTGAAGGTAAGGTGACACAGTGGGTGTGAGTGGTGTGAAGGTAAGGTGACACAGTGGGTGTGAGTGGTGTGAAGGTAAGGTGACACAGTGGGTGTGAGTGGTGTGAAGGTAAGGTGACACAGTGGGTGTGAGTGGTGTGAAGGTAAGGTGACACAGTGGGTGTGAGTGGTGTGAAGGTAAGGTGACACAGTGGGTGTGAGTGGTGTGAAGGTGAGTGTTGATACAGTTGGTGTGAGTGGTGTGAAGGTAAGGTGACACAGTGGGTGTGAGTGGTGTGAAGGTGAGTGGTGACACAGTGGGTGTGAGTGGTGTGAAGGTAAGGTGACACAGTGGGTGTGAGTGGTGTGAAGGTAAGGTGACACAGTGGGTGTGATTGATGTGAAGGTACGGTGACACAGTGGGTGTGAGTGGTGTGAAGGTAAGGTGACACAGTGGGTGTGAGTGGTGTGAAGGTAAGGTGACACAGTGGGTGTGAGTGGTGTGAAGGTAAGGTGACACAGTGGGTGTGAGTGGTGTGAAGGTAAGGTGACACAGTGGGTGTGAGTGGTGTGAAGGTGAGTGGTGACACAGTGGGTGTGAGTGGTGTGAAGGTAAGGTGATACAGTGGGTGTGAGTGGTGTGAAGGTAAGGTGACACAGTGAATGTGAGTGGTGTGAAGGTAAGGTGACACAGTGGGTGTGGGTGGTGTGAAGGTAAGGTGACACAGTGGGTGTGAGTGGTGTGAAGGTAAGGTGACACAGTGGGTGTGAAGGTAAGGTGACACAGTGGGTGTGAGTGGTGTGAAGGTGAGTGGTGACACAGTGGGTGTGAGTGGTGTGAAGGTGAGTGGTGACACAGTGGGTGTGAGTGGTGTGAAGGTAAGGTGACACAGTGGGTGTGAGTGGTGTGAAGGTAAGGTGACACAGTGGGTGTGAGTGGTGTGAAGGTACGGTGACACAGTGGGTGTGAGTGGTGTGAAGGTAAGGTGACACAGTGGGTGTGAGTGGTGTAAAGGTAAGGTGACACAGTGGGTGTGAGTGGTGTGAAGGTAAGGTGACACAGTGGGTGTGAGTGGTGTGAAGGTGAGTGGTGACACAGTGGGTGTGAGTGGTGTGAAGGTAAGGTGACACAGTGGTGTGAAGGTAAGGTGACACAGTGGGTGTGAGTGGTGTGAAGGTAAGGTGACACAGTGGGTGTGAGTGGTGTGAAGGTAAGGTGACACAGTGGGTGTGAGTGGTGTGAAGGTAAGGTGACACAGTGGGTGTGAGTGGTGTGAAGGTAAGGTGACACAGTGGGTGTGAGTGGTGTGAAGGTAAGGTGACACAGTGGGTGTGAGTGGTGTGAAGGTAAGGTGACACAGTGGGTGTGAGTGGTGTGAAGGTAAGGTGACACAGTGGGTGTGAGTGGTGTGAAGGTAAGGTGACACAGTGGGTGTGAGTGGTGTGAAGGTAAGGTAACACAGTGGGTGTGAGTGGTTTGAAGGTAAGGTGACACAGTGGGTGTGAGTGGTGTCAAGGTGAGTGTGGTGACAGTTGGTGTGAGTGGTGTGAAGGTAAGGTGACACAGTGGGTGTGAGTGGTGTGAAGGTAAGATGACACAGTGGGTGTGAGTGGTGTGAAGGTAAGGTGACACAGTTGGTGTGGGTGGTGTGAAGGTAAGGTGACACAGTGGGTGTGAGTGGTGTGAAGGTAAGATGACACAGTGGGTGTGAGTGGTGTGAAGGTAAGGTGACACAGTGGGTGTGAGTGGTGTGAAGGTAAGGTGACACAGTGGGTGCTGGTTGTACTGGTGACATGTAGCTAATGTCCAACTTCCCATTTGACCAAACAGGGCGCTGTTGTGTACCTTAACACCCAGGCCTTGATGCAGGTATCTTACAACCTGCCTCAAGGCACGCTGGCATTCCTTACGGAAGAAGAGGTCCTCTACCTGAGGGTCAAGGGTGGTTGGAAGGAAATTCAGGTGAGTGGACTATATGAAGTATGGACAGTTTTTCTTATCAAGGCGTATCAAGGATCCAACGTAACTATTTAAAAAAACTATTATTAAATTTTAAAAAAATTAAAATCAAATAACAGTTGATCACTAGGCAAATGGACAGTGTTTACATCTGATCAGTGAACAAATGATATGTTTCATAAGTGATATGTTAACTGTTTTCTCTCATTATTTTGACCTCATATGTGACCTTTGAACTTTGCAGCAGGGTCGCACAATTCCAATCAGAGTACCGCCAACAACTGTAAGTAGTCTCATCTTGTGTTTTTAGTTTAGCTGCACCCAATAATATACCACCCCATGTGGTTGTGTCAGTGTTTCACAGAATGTGGTGGTGTCTGTTTTAGCCACACTAGTCTCAATGTTATCTACACAATGTCAGTGTTTCACAGAATGTGGTTGTGTCAGGGTTTCACAGAATGTGGTTGTGTCAGGGTTTCACAGAATGTGGTTGTGCCTGTAAACACATCTGACTTGTTGTTTTATGGAAAAAACTGTTTGTCTTGTCTCTATGTTATAAACTGAGTTTTTTTAAAAAGGTTGACTCTTTTCATTCAATTATAACACTGAAAGCAGATATCACTAAACCACACAAACATCACAAAACCACACACATATCACTTAACCACACACAATCTTTAAACAAACAGATGTCTTTGAATCAAATACACTGCACTATACTGCACAAACACACATCTATACATCACAAACACACATCTATACATCACAAATATACTTCTATAGATCACTAACACACACCTATACATCATAAACACACTTCTATACATCACAAACACACACCTATAAAACACAAACACACATCTATTGATCACAAACACACATCTATTGATCACAAACACACATCTATTGATCACAAACACACATCTCTACATCACAAACGCACACCTATAAAACAAACACACATCACTGCACTCATCAAAGTGCTGTGATTGTATTACAATCTCAATTAAATGGCTTTGTCTGCCACCACTATAAATAACTGCTTATAAAATTTTAAAGAATAATTCTCTTTGCTTGAACCACTCATATAGATTAATTTACACTTGTTAATAAATTTTTACAAAACATTTACAGTTGTTAATATATTTTTACAAAACATTTTTGCTAATATATTCTTTACAAAACATTTACACTTGTTAATATATTCTTTACAAAACATTTACTTTTGCTAAGATATTCTTTACAAAACAAGTTCCTTTTAATCTGGCATGAAGATGCATTTTTGATCTTCTAGTCACATGATCATGTTGTTAATTTTCATTGAATTTTATAAGACTATTCTGGTTCATTGGTTTTCATGAAGATATTGTTAAAATCTATTAAAAAGAAAAATGTTTGCTCATTATCAACACTTGAACAGCACAGGAGTGTCTACAATTTTAATATCATCTGCACAATATTAAATTTAAAACCTTTGTTTTTAAACTGAAGCATTTTGATTAATCTTACATTTAGGCTATAGGTCACCATTTCATCTTACAATTAGGCTGTAGGTCACCATTTCATCTTATAATTAGGTCACCATTACATCTTACAACTAGGTCACAATTACATCTTACAATTAGGCCATAATCCACCATTAGATCTTACAATTAGGCAATAGGTCACCATTTCATCTTACATCTAGGCTATAGGTCAACATAACATCTTACAAGTAGATCATTTTTAAAAAATCTAGCATATAGTTTGATTTATCCATCACAACCACCCAGAGGTTACCTAGCATATAGTTAGATTTATCCATGACAACCACCCAGAGGTTACCTACACAACCACCCAGAGGTTACCATGACAACCACCCAGAGCTTACCTAGCTGGATTTTTTTTCTTATGGATTCAACTAATCTTGCAGTGCTTTAACAGATTGCCATGGCAACCATAGCTTTTGTTTACCCAGCAAAATCTGACGACTTTAATTTAAATGAGTCCTGAAGTGGTTTTTTTTTTTGAGTGTAGCTAAGAGTGTTTTTTTTTAATGAAATTACAGTGGGCTTGGGTTTTTGCTATGCTTAAGTTTGCATTGAGCTGGGGTTTTGGTTTAGATTAGCTGCAGCTTGCAATTATCTAAACAGAAAATCTGTATTCTTCTTAAAAATACATTTCTTTGGAATAAAAACAAATTCAATGTTAATATCTTTAAAAGGCGACTGGTATTACATACAAAGTTAAGTGATGTCGTGTGTTTTGTTTTTATCCTGAACGTTGGGTAGTTAGCGCAACCCTTGAGAACCTCTGTACTCTGTTTGTTGTCCTGTTGCTGAGCTAGCCATACGTCTGCTGGGTCCAGCTGTTTTGTGGTTCTCAAACTTGTCAGACTGTACCCTGTACTGAGTGTAGACGGCCAACTGATGAATGTTACAATGAGACTAGTTCTAGTGTTTGTTGGCCTTCACAGTGGGGTTTTCTCCCTTTAGCAAAGTGGTGTTTTATTTTTTAAATACTATTTTATTATGTTAAACTCCTTCACTGGAAACATATTATTTAATATTTTTTATCAACTCTATCAATATGAACTAAACATCTTTGTCCAGATTTATGTGATTATGCCAATTTGGCCAATCCCATTTTTTAAAATTGTGTCAGGTTTGTATCAACTGATTTGTTTTTGTTTTTCTTTTTTTTCCCTAAACTTTGTATGGGGGAACTTGCTTTTGTTTGATGCATGCAATAGAGCAATATACCAGAGGACAACACATCCAGAAGGGGAGAGAGTTCCTTGCCTTCCCAAAGCAAGACTGGGACCATATATGACACTGATGCTGCAGAACTGGCCAGGTACAAGCAGGAACTTGAGGAGAGGAAGAGAAGAAGGGAGAGGGAAAGAATACGGAGACTAAACGAAAGTAGAGATAACGGAGACGAACGGCGGAATCAGTTTAGGATAGAGGAGGAGAGGAAGAGAGAGAGAGAGAGGGTACAGGCTGAACAGGAGAGACAGAGAGTGGAGAGAGATCGCTTGGTGGGGTGGTGGTGAGTACATCTTTTGTTGGTGGGGTAGTGGTGAGTACATCTTTTGTTGGTGGTGTGGTGGTGAGTACATCTTTTGTTGGTGGATTGGGTGGTGGTGAGTACATCTTTTGTTGGTGGGGTGTTGGTGAGTACATCTTAGACTTTTGTTGGTGGTGTGGTGGTGAGTACATCTTTTGTTGGTGGGGTAGTGGTGAGTACATCTTTTGTTGGTGGGGTAGTGGTGAGTACATCTTTTGTTGGTGGGGTGGTGGTGAGTACATCTTAGACTTTTGTTGGTGGTGTGGTGGTGAGTACATCTTTTGTTGGTGGGTAGGGTAGTGGTGAGTACATCTTTTGTTGGTGGGTGGTGTAAGTCAACCCATTCAGACATCACTGGGCTGATTCTATCTGTAAACTTGACAGGGACCAAAAGGAGAGCCAGGTCCTCAAGGACCTCCAGGACCTGCAGGACCTAGAGGATTCCGAGGACCTCAGGGAGAAATGGGCCTGCCTGGTTTTGTGGTACGTCCTCAGTAAACTTCCTCATGGCATATACTGTAAACCTCCTGATCTTCCACTCATAATATCTACTGTAAACCTCCTGATCTTCTGATCATGACATCTACTGTGAACCTCTCTAAAACAAGGTTCCTCGCCTAACTTACTGTAAACCTCTCTAAAACAAGGAACCTCCCCAAACCTACTGTAAACCTCTCTAAAAAAGAATCCTCCCCTAACTTTTTGTTTCTAATACACACAGGGCAGGAACGGAGCACAAGGTAAAAAAGGTGAGCCAGGTGTTGGCATCAAAGGTGAACCAGGTGTCAGCATCAAGGGAGAAAAGGTAAGTTTTTCCTCATCTTACATGTAATGCTTACATCAGTTGAAGATTCAACATTTGTTGTATGTTTGCGGTGGGGCTCAATATATTTTTTAATGAGAACTTGAATGGGAATAATAACTTTTAGCTTTACGTTGATAAACAAAAAAACATGCCATTTTCTTTAAATTGGTAACTTTATAAAGTCATATTTAAATTGAGTTTTTTTAATCTGGTGAAGTCACATTTTTAAATATGATAAACTTGATGTTGTAATGAGTTATTGATTTTGATGAAAATCAAAATTTTAAAAAATCTGATGAACTGTTGTAGGGCAGCCCAGGAGACAGAGGACTGCGAGGTTTTGTGGGCCCAGCTGGACCACCAGGGCCACCGGGGACAGTTGCTGACGGCCTCACTGTTCCCAGCTGTAAGTCGTGCCCTACACTGCTAAACCCAATGCATAGGTCAAGGTCATAGCCATCCCACCTGCCTGTCATAACCATCCCACCTGCCTGTAAATTACCCCTTGTCATTTCCCACCACCTTCATATTCTCAGATCAATCACCCCGTCAATGACCACCTATCCCATTAACATATATATTATGCCTATCATTATCCAACACCTCAAGCAGCTCCTTATTTCTACCCCTAACCGTATTCTTAACTCTGTCCTTAACTTTAACCTCATCCTAAACCCTAACACTATCTTAAACATTATCCATTCCCCTATCCCTAACCCTATCTGAACCTTAAGCTATCTGTATGTCTATCTCAGAGGCTAAGCTACCATTTTGGCGCCCAGAGACACTTTCAATTTGGCGTTCCCCCCTCGGGAACAACCTTTCAATTTGCAATTTGCACCCCTCCTCCCTCAAACTTTTAATTTGTCTTTCCAACCCATTTTGGCGCCCCCTAACGTTGGCGCCCGGGGCATATGTACCCCTGCCCCCCCTCTCACTACCCCTCTGGTCTATCTCTAAATGACCAAGAAGTATTTTACAGGGAATAATGTTCTAATGTTTTTTATTTTGACTATTACTCATAATTTCTCCAGCATTACCTCTTGATATTACTTTTGTTTTAATATTTTTTTTCTACATTAAACAATTGCAAATAACATAGTGTTTTCATCAACTCTCTGACCTTTGAACTTTAACCTGGTCAAGTTGACCTTACATCTGATTTAAATTTTTCAGATCTGCCTGGACCAAAAGGTGATAAGGGTGACCGCGGCAAGGACGGCATGCCTGGACTACAGGTTGTAATCTTAGACATAATAGTCTTAACATTTTTTAAAGTTTCATTTGTGGTACTTGAACCCATTCATACAACAAATCCCTTTTACTTATACCAACTTAGCAGTAAATCTCTTATCCCTGTACCATTACAATGGCTAGTCAGACAAAAGTCCAAGTACTTAATGATGTTGTAAAATAAAACGCCATGTCATTTCTAACACCAAGACTGTCTGTCCATTTCAGGGTCTAGAGGGCCAAACTGGGCCACCTGGCCCACCAGGATTACCTGGCCGACCAGGGCCACCAGGTCCAGCAAGCTCATCCAGGCTGGACGATGACCTTCTTATGGGCCCTGAAGGTCCACCAGGGCCCCAAGGTCCACCTGTAAGACACCTGTTTGTTTTTTCATAATTGGGATACTGGTTACTTAACTGACTTAATTAATACAGCAACTAACTTTTGTTAACATTCTTGTTTACTGTAAAATATTTCATTTTTGGTTTTAACTTCATGGTGAGCATAGTTAGAAGTATGGATTTGATTACAAATTCAACATTCTAATTTAGCATATGTTAACATTTAAGTCTTCTGCACTGTATGTTAACACTCAGGTTTTTAGCACCCGTCAACATTCATAGTTTTTGCACAAATTAACATTTAGGTATTTGGCAAATGTTAACATTTAGGTTTTTGGCAAATGTTGACATTCAGGTTTTTGGCAAATGTTAACATTTAGGTTTTTGGCAAATGTTGACATTCAGGTTTTTGGCAAATGTTGACATTCAGGTTTTTGGCAAATATTGACATTCAGGTTTTTGGCAAATGTTGACATTCAGGTTTTTGGCAAATGTTGACATTCAGGTTTTTGGCAAATGTTAACATTCAGATTTAAACTCCACAGGGTCCTAAAGGAGATCGTGGTGAAACAGTAGTAGGACCACGAGGTCCACAAGGTTTTCAGGGCCCACCAGGTCCACCAGGCATTGGTCTGCCGGGCCCACCAGGACCACCAGGGGACGTCATCATTGGCAACAGTGGTAGCTCAGACCGTGTTATTGCTGGGCCCCCAGGCCCACCTGGGCCCCCCGGTCCTCCAGGTTATTCATTTGGATATGACAGTAACCAGAGCCAAATACCCATTGGTCAAACAGTGGGTGCTGGTGGCGTCAAGGTGAGTGTGGTGACAGTGAATTTAGTGGGGTGAATATGTGAGTGATGTAAGGTGAGGTGACACAGTGGGTGTGAGTGGTGTGTAGGTGAGTGTGGTGACACAGTGGGTGTGTGTGGTGTGAAGGTTAGGTGACACAGTGGGTGTGAGTGGTGTGTAGGTGAGTGTGGTGACACAGTGGGTGTGTGTGGTGTGAAGGTAAGGTGACACAGTGGGTGTGAGTGGTGTGAAGGTTAGGTGACACAGTGGGTGTGAGTGGTGTGAAGGTAAGGTGACACAGTGGGTGTGAGTGGTGTGAAGGTAAGGTGACACAGTGGGTGTGAGTGGTGTGAAGGTAAGGTGACACAGTGGGTGTGAGTGGTGTGAAGGTAAGGTGACACAGTGGGTGTGAGTGGTGTGAAGGTAAGGTGACACAGTGGGTGTGAGTGGTGTGAAGGTGAGTGTTGATACAGTTGGTGTGAGTGGTGTGAAGGTAAGGTGACACAGTGGGTGTGAGTGGTGTGAAGGTAAGTGTGGTGACACAGTGGGTGTGAGTGGTGTGAAGGTAAGGTGACACAGTGGGTGTGAGTGGTGTGAAGGTAAGTGTGGTGACACAGTGGGTGTGAGTGGTGTGAAGGTAGGGTGACACAGTGGGTGTGAGTGGTGTGAAGGTAAGGTGACACAGTGGGTGTGAGTGGTGTGAAGGTAAGGTGACACAGTGGGTGTGAGTGGTGTGAAGGTAAGGTGACACAGTGGGTGTGAGTGCTGTGAAGGTAAGTGTGGTGACACAGTGGGTGTGAGTGGTGTGAAGGTAGGGTGACACAGTGGGTGTGAGTGGTGTGTAGGTGAGTGTGGTGACACAGTGGGTGTGAGTGGTGTGAAGGTAAGTGTGGTGACACAGTGGGTGTGAGTGGTGTGAAGGTAAGGTGACACAGTGGGTGTGAGTGGTGTGAAGGTAAGTGTGGTGACACAGTGGGTGTGAGTGGTGTGAAGGTAGGGTGACACAGTGGGTGTGAGTGGTGTGAAGGTAAGGTGACACAGTGGGTGTGAGTGGTGTGAAGGTAAGGTGACACAGTGGGTGTGAGTGGTGTGAAGGTAAGGTGACACAGTGGGTGTGAGTGGTGTGAAGGTAAGGTGACACAGTGGGTGTGAGTGGTGTGAAGGTAAGGTGACACAGTGGGTGTGAGTGGTGTGAAGGTAAGGTGACACAGTGGGTGTGAGTGGTGTGAAGGTGAGTGTTGATACAGTTGGTGTGAGTGGTGTGAAGGTAAGGTGACACAGTGGGTGTGAGTGGTGTGAAGGTGAGTGGTGACACAGTGGGTGTGAGTGGTGTGAAGGTAAGGTGACACAGTGGGTGTGAGTGGTGTGAAGGTAAGGTGACACAGTGGGTGTGATTGATGTGAAGGTACGGTGACACAGTGGGTGTGAGTGGTGTGAAGGTAAGGTGACACAGTGGGTGTGAGTGGTGTGAAGGTAAGGTGACACAGTGGGTGTGAGTGGTGTGAAGGTAAGGTGACACAGTGGGTGTGAGTGGTGTGAAGGTAAGGTGACACAGTGGGTGTGAGTGGTGTGAAGGTGAGTGGTGACACAGTGGGTGTGAGTGGTGTGAAGGTAAGGTGATACAGTGGGTGTGAGTGGTGTGAAGGTAAGGTGACACAGTGAATGTGAGTGGTGTGAAGGTAAGGTGACACAGTGGGTGTGGGTGGTGTGAAGGTAAGGTGACACAGTGGGTGTGAGTGGTGTGAAGGTAAGGTGACACAGTGGGTGTGAAGGTAAGGTGACACAGTGGGTGTGAGTGGTGTGAAGGTGAGTAGTGACACAGTGGGTGTCAAGGTGAGTGGTGACACAGTGAATGTGAGTGGTGTGAGGGTGAGGTGACACAGTGAATGTGAGTGGTGTGAGGGTGAGGTGACACAGTGGGTGTGAGTGGTGTGAAGGTAAGGTGACACAGTGGGTGTGAGTGGTGTGAAGGTGAGTAGTGACACAGTGGGTGTGAGTGGTGTGAAGGTAAGGTGACACAGTGGGTGTGAGTGGTGTGAAGGTAAGGTGACACAGTGGGTGTGAGTGGTGTGAAGGTACGGTGACACAGTGGGTGTGAGTGGTGTGAAGGTAAGGTGACACAGTGGGTGTGAGTGGTGTAAAGGTAAGGTGACACAGTGGGTGTGAGTGGTGTGAAGGTAAGGTGACACAGTGGGTGTGAGTGGTGTGAAGGTGAGTGGTGACACAGTGGGTGTGAGTGGTGTGAAGGTAAGGTGACACAGTGGTGTGAAGGTAAGGTGACACAGTGGGTGTGAGTGGTGTGAAGGTAAGGTGACACAGTGGGTGTGAGTGGTGTGAAGGTAAGGTGACACAGTGGGTGTGAGTGGTGTGAAGGTAAGGTGACACAGTGGGTGTGAGTGGTGTGAAGGTAAGGTGACACAGTGGGTGTGAGTGGTGTGAAGGTAAGGTGACACAGTGGGTGTGAGTGGTGTGAAGGTAAGGTGACACAGTGGGTGTGAGTGGTGTGAAGGTAAGGTGACACAGTGGGTGTGAGTGGTGTGAAGGTAAGGTGACACAGTGGGTGTGAGTGGTGTGAAGGTAAGGTAACACAGTGGGTGTGAGTGGTTTGAAGGTAAGGTGACACAGTGGGTGTGAGTGGTGTCAAGGTGAGTGTGGTGACAGTTGGTGTGAGTGGTGTGAAGGTAAGGTGACACAGTGGGTGTGAGTGGTGTGAAGGTAAGATGACACAGTGGGTGTGAGTGGTGTGAAGGTAAGGTGACACAGTTGGTGTGGGTGGTGTGAAGGTAAGGTGACACAGTGGGTGTGAGTGGTGTGAAGGTAAGATGACACAGTGGGTGTGAGTGGTGTGAAGGTAAGGTGACACAGTGGGTGTGAGTGGTGTGAAGGTAAGGTGACACAGTGGGTGCTGGTTGTACTGGTGACATGTAGCTAATGTCCAACTTCCCATTTGACCAAACAGGGCGCTGTTGTGTACCTTAACACCCAGGCCTTGATGCAGGTATCTTACAACCTGCCTCAAGGCACGCTGGCATTCCTTACGGAAGAAGAGGTCCTCTACCTGAGGGTCAAGGGTGGTTGGAAGGAAATTCAGGTGAGTGGACTATATGAAGTATGGACAGTTTTTCTTATCAAGGCGTATCAAGAATCCAACGTAACTATTTAAAAAAACTATTATTAAATTTAAAAAAAATTAAAATCAAATAACAGTTGATCACTAGGCAAATGGACAGTGTTTACATCTGATCAGTGAACAAATGATATGTTTCATAAGTGATATGTTAACTGTTTTCTCTCATTATTTTGACCTCATATGTGACCTTTGAACTTTGCAGCAGGGTCGCACAATTCCAATCAGAGTACCGCCAACAACTGTAAGTAGTCTCATCTTGTGTTTTTAGTTTAGCTGCACCCAATAATATACCACCCCATGTGGTTGTGTCAGTGTTTCACAGAATGTGGTGGTGTCTGTTTTAGCCACACTAGTCTCAATGTTATCTACACAATGTCAGTGTTTCACAGAATGTGGTTGTGTCAGGGTTTCACAGAATGTGGTTGTGTCAGGGTTTCACAGAATGTGGTTGTGCCTGTAAACACATCTGACTTGTTGTTTTATGGAAAAAACTGTTTGTCTTGTCTCTATGTTATAAACTGAGTTTTTTTTAAAAAGGTTGACTCTTTTCATTCAATTATAACACTGAAAGCAGATATCACTAAACCACACAAACATCACAAAACCACACACATATCACTTAACCACACACAATCTTTAAACAAACAGATGTCTTTGAATCAAATACACTGCACTATACTGCACAAACACACATCTATACATCACAAACACACATCTATACATCACAAATATACTTCTATAGATCACTAACACACACCTATACATCATAAACACACTTCTATACATCACAAACACACACCTATAAAACACAAACACACATCTATTGATCACAAACACACATCTATTGATCACAAACACACATCTATTGATCACAAACACACATCTCTACATCACAAACGCACACCTATAAAACAAACACACATCACTGCACTCATCAAAGTGCTGTGATTGTATTACAATCTCAATTAAATGGCTTTGTCTGCCACCACTATAAATAACTGCTTATAAAATTTTAAAGAATAATTCTCTTTGCTTGAACCACTCATATAGATTAATTTACACTTGTTAATAAATTTTTACAAAACATTTACAGTTGTTAATATATTTTTACAAAACATTTTTGCTAATATATTCTTTACAAAACATTTACACTTGTTAATATATTCTTTACAAAACATTTACTTTTGCTAAGATATTCTTTACAAAACAAGTTCCTTTTAATCTGGCATGAAGATGCATTTTTGATCTTCTAGTCACATGATCATGTTGTTAATTTTCATTGAATTTTATAAGACTATTCTGGTTCATTGGTTTTCATGAAGATATTGTTAAAATCTATTAAAAAGAAAAATGTTTGCTCATTATCAACACTTGAACAGCACAGGAGTGTCTACAATTTTAATATCATCTGCACAATATTAAATTTAAAACCTTTGTTTTTAAACTGAAGCATTTTGATTAATCTTACATTTAGGCTATAGGTCACCATTTCATCTTACAATTAGGCTGTAGGTCACCATTTCATCTTATAATTAGGTCACCATTACATCTTACAACTAGGTCACAATTACATCTTACAATTAGGCCATAATCCACCATTAGATCTTACAATTAGGCAATAGGTCACCATTTCATCTTACATCTAGGCTATAGGTCAACATAACATCTTACAAGTAGATCATTTTAAAAAAATCTAGCATATAGTTTGATTTATCCATCACAACCACCCAGAGGTTACCTAGCATATAGTTAGATTTATCCATGACAACCACCCAGAGGTTACCTACACAACCACCCAGAGGTTACCATGACAACCACCCAGAGCTTACCTAGCTGGATTTTTTTTCTTATGGATTCAACTAATCTTGCAGTGCTTTAACAGATTGCCATGGCAACCATAGCTTTTGTTTACCCAGCAAAATCTGACGACTTTAATTTAAATGAGTCCTGAAGTGGTTTTTTTTTTTGAGTGTAGCTAAGAGTGTTTTTTTTAATGAAATTACAGTGGGCTTGGGTTTTTGCTATGCTTAAGTTTGCATTGAGCTGGGGTTTTGGTTTAGATTAGCTGCAGCTTGCAATTATCTAAACAGAAAATCTGTATTCTTCTTAAAAATACATTTCTTTGGAATAAAAACAAATTCAATGTTAATATCTTTAAAAGGCGACTGGTATTACATACAAAGTTAAGTGATGTCGTGTGTTTTGTTTTTATCCTGAACGTTGGGTAGTTAGCGCAACCCTTGAGAACCTCTGTACTCTGTTTGTTGTCCTGTTGCTGAGCTAGCCATACGTCTGCTGGGTCCAGCTGTTTTGTGGTTCTCAAACTTGTCAGACTGTACCCTGTACTGAGTGTAGACGGCCAACTGATGAATGTTACAATGAGACTAGTTCTAGTGTTTGTTGGCCTTCACAGTGGGGTTTTCTCCCTTTAGCAAAGTGGTGTTTTATTTTTTAAATACTATTTTATTATGTTAAACTCCTTCACTGGAAACATATTATTTAATATTTTTTATCAACTCTATCAATATGAACTAAACATCTTTGTCCAGATTTATGTGATTATGCCAATTTGGCCAATCCCATTTTTTAAAATTGTGTCAGGTTTGTATCAACTGATTTGTTTTTGTTTTTCTTTTTTTTCCCTAAACTTTGTATGGGGGAACTTGCTTTGGTTTGATGCATGCAATAGAGCAATATACCAGAGGACAACACATCCAGAAGGGGAGAGAGTTCCTTGCCTTCCCAAAGCAAGACTGGGACCATATATGACACTGATGCTGCAGAACTGGCCAGGTACAAGCAGGAACTTGAGGAGAGGAAGAGAAGAAGGGAGAGGGAAAGAATACGGAGACTAAACGAAAGTAGAGATAACGGAGACGAACGGCGGAATCAGTTTAGGATAGAGGAGGAGAGGAAGAGAGAGAGAGAGAGGGTACAGGCTGAACAGGAGAGACAGAGAGTGGAGAGAGATCGCTTGTTAAAAGAGGAAGCTGAGAGGAACAGAGTCTCAGAGGAGAGGAGAAAATTGGAGGCTGAGAGGCAGAGAAGGCTGGACGAGAGGAAGAGACTGGAGGAGGAAAGAGAGAGACAGAGGCAAGAGTTAGAAAGGACAGAGAGAGAGAGGAGGCTCCTAGAGAGGGAGAGGCTAGAGCGTGAGAGGAGATTGCAAGGGAGACAGGTGCCAGAGAATCAGAGATGGAGGTCGTCCACTAACCAGAACATTTACAACAGACGAGACCAGCAGACGCCGTGGCTTAGTGTGCAAGATAAATTCCGCCTGCCAAACCAAGCCGTGTCTGTGACCCATGTCCGAGTGGTCGGCAATGACCAGCAGGACGAACAGGTCCAAGACAATAAGCCACGGGTAATGACTTTTGTTTCGGTACCCTGCCAGACTCTGCTTACTGCGTGCTCATAGGGTCAGGGGCTTCATAAAACGCTTACCTTAGAGCCACTGATTTCTTATCATAGCCTTTAGCCTCTGCTCTACTATAGCCACGTGTATACATGGTAGGCAGCCACATATTTATCCTGGTCCAAAGCCACTTAACACTGAAAATAATGCTGATTATTGTCACTGTTATTTCAACCATTGTTGGCAAATAGTATTTATAAAACTCACATGTTTAACGTCACAGCCTTAAAAAATGCTTTACTTTAATCTATATATTTTTAAGCGTAGCTTATTTTTTAAGACAACATTAATTTTTTTTAAAATTTAAATATATTTTTAAAAATATATTTAAATTGATAAATTTATAAAATGTGTATTTTAAAACAAAAAAAATTAAATCTTCAATACTACTTAACTGTTAACTAAGAATCTATTCTGTTTTTTTTTTTTTTTCTATAATATATATTTTTTATTTTTATTTTTGAATAGACCTAAGCTATTTTAAAATTTAAAACAAAATACTTTATTCTGTAAAAGTAAAGTTTTAAAAGCGTTAAAGTAAATGTGAATAAAACTTTGGCTGACCATGAAAAGTGTGCACACATCTCAGCTGCTTTAGCTACTGCATGAATATTCATGACTCATAGAGACGTTTTCACATGTAGTTTTGTACTGCTGAGGTACAGCTCAATATTTAATTACATATTCTTGTTTGTTTTTTTTCTTTGTACTCTGATTTTTCATTTTAAAAAAAAAAAACTTTATTTGTTTTAGGTAGAAGAATTTACTCTTGTAACTGTGGTAACAAACTTCATTCTAAGACAACCTTTAACCTTAAGATAGTTTTCTAGACTCACTTTGGTTATGGGCAGTTAACTTTTTTCTTGTCACCACAGTGGTTTCCCTTGATCCTTAGTAACACAGACACACTCAACTAATGAATGTTTTTCTGTTCTTTTTATTATTGTTGTTGTTTCTATTTTTTATGATAACACAAGAGCTTAGGATGCTGTCTAGCAGATGTATGTCATCAGCCATACATATAAAAAACTTCCATCTTTGCTTATCTTTTTCAATATTAATTACATTAGCTAGCAGCCAACCATTCTTAATGAAGTTAGCTAAAAAAATACTTTAATAATTTACGCCACATATTTCTACTTAATATGCATTCAATATAAATACCACAAAAATATTAATTACAATAATTAAAGATAATGTTTAGATAAATTAATTTAAGTTTGTTGAATAACAAAATAAGGATTAAATAACAAAACAAAATTTTTAGAAGGTAAATACAAAAACTATTGAGCCCAATGTTGGGAGGTAGAGTAGAGGACATGAGGTTGCATGCAGACTGTACTTGATGTGTTTTTTCTCTCTTATCTATCTCATAAGCCATTTCCATTTCAGTCCAACCCAAGTTCTGAGACAGTAAGTTTATACCTGGCAATTGGCCAGGCCACTGGCCAGGTGGCCACAAACTTGGTGTGCTCTGCATGCTAGCTAGATCCAGTGCAATCCATTAACACCAGCCGATGTTTTACAATCTTTTTGGTTTCCATAACAGATTTAATTTAGATTAAATTAGAGTAGGACCCAAAGACTACTACAGCCATTCTGACAGCTACAGCAAATCTGGTACCTAAAGTTAACTGGCTGTTTAAAATTATGACAATCCTTATAAAAACAAACATGAATGACTGCTGAAATTGGCTCCCAATTAGCAACTGAAAAATTTGATTTAGTTTTTGATTATTTTATTTGTTGCACCGGTACACGTTTGGGTTTGAAATTTAATTTTTGTTTTTTTTTTAAACACAAAAAGTTAAAACAGTGTATGTGTTACTGTCAGTTGTCATTAAATATAGGCTATATTTAACCTTAAACAACCTTCATTTAAATAATTGTGATAATCAATGGCTTAAACTTAAATGTTAAAATTGCTGACTATGTTTGTTTTAATCTAATTAAAAAAAAGGCATTTTTGGCAGCGATATTTCAATAACAATTGCTTTATGTAAATACTTAACATTATTAAAATGTGAACTGGCAATTGAATTTCTCTTTGTGCTAACTTTATTTGGAAACTAACTTTTGGCCAGGTTTTTAACAAACCAACAACTAACTGCTTTTAGCTAACCAAATTTCCCGTCTGCTTTGAGTGAAGTGTTTCTAGCTGTAGACCTCTTGTCATCTCTGCATTATGACAGTGCCAACTGTAGACCAACAGTTTATCATAATTCTTATAAGTGTAAATTTCAAAACAACATTATTTTGATAAATCTGTAACAGTTGCTACTTTTAAACATCTGCTTACATTTCTAAACTGAATTCTTTAAAATCATTTGTCTTTTTTCCACAATATCTTAACAAATTCATTTTAAATTTTCTAGAACTGTACTTTGTAATTTGTCTATACCAATAATCATTATTTTAATTGTACTGGGCTTACTCCAAGTTACAATTAGTTTTGATTATTATGCTGTTACTTTCCGCAGACTACACCGCTACCTTCAATAAATGTTCCCATTGCTGCATCACTTGTTCAAGGTCCCATGGTAACTGACTCCTTTAATCTCTTATAAAAGTTTTGTAAAGAGTTAAAGCTGTTTTTTTTTAGTAAAAGAATAATACAAAATACGATGAAAAGAATGTAAACTTTTCTAATAAAAGAATAGTATAAAATGCTATGAAATAATGTAATTTTTTTTTCTAATAAAAGAATAACATAAAATGCTTTTGGAAATCATGCAAACTTTTCTTGTACAAGAGTAATATAAAATGCTCTAAAATGATGAGTTAACTTTTCTCGTACAGCTCCACCTGATAGCACTGGATAGGTCCATGTCAGGTCACATGAGAGGTTTAAGTGGTGTAGACCGCGAGTGTCACAAAGAGGCCCTGCAGCATAAGCTCAGCGGATCATACAGGGCATTCATCTCAACCACAGACCAACATCTCAGGTCTATCATTCATTACCAAAGGGACAGGCAACTTCCTATAGTTAATCTCAAGGTAGGCAGACCATTGGTTTAAATTTCTATTTCAGGAGATGTTTTACTTTACCAACAAAACACCACATTTTTTGAGTGATGATTTTAATTTATTTTCACTCAATAATTGAATTTTTGTTTTCATATGTCTAATAGCAGCAGTATAATATTTTATTGGCCTTTAATTTAATGTTTTTATTGAAAAAAAAGAGTTGTAACCTACATCATAAATAACACAAGATCATTAGGCATCATGAAATATGGTATAGCACATATGACCGAGTTTTAAAATTTAAAAGATTGTTGTTTTAGTTACAATATAGTTTTAAATGAAAAGTTTGATAGATTGTGTAGATGATTTCTGTCAGCGTCTGAACTTGTGTTAATAATTTTCCTGTCAACCCCCAGAATCAGATTTTGTTTAATTCCTGGGAAGCTTTAACTGACGGCAATGGCGCAGTCTTCAACAGCGAGACGCCAATTTACTCCTTTAGTGGCCGGGATGTCATGCTGGATAGTACATGGTCAGTCATTGGTCAATTTTTAAGAAACTTTTTGTGTAATACTAATATTAGCAGTCGTTGGTTAACTCCCAACACACACTTTATATTTAATACTACTGTTGTTACCGTTATTGAATAAATTAAATGAATAAATTCAATATTAGTAATATGTCAATTTTAATATATATTGCATATTTAATACTAATATTATCACTTATTGGTCAATTTTTGAAATAATTTTATATTTAATACAAATATTATCAGCGATTGGTCAATTTTTAACATACATTTTTGTTTAAGGGGATACACTCTGTTTTTATTTCTATTTTTTAACAATTTAAAATCTTAAGCCTTTTGAATATTTTTACCATGTTTGCACATGGAATTCAGAATTAAACAGCAAAAAAAAAGGGTTGAAAACAATTATGATTGTCACGGAAACCCGAAAAAACCTCAACCAGTTTGAATTTTTGGTACTTTTAAAAATGCTATGGTTTTTTTATTTATAAACAATCAAATTTACACTGCTTATATTTTAGTATATATTAAAACTTTTGTCACTACTACTTTTTGATAGAACTACTGTTCAGAATTCTACAAAGTCCAAAAAATTGCACCCATTTTAGTATGCAAAAGTTTTAAAATTTGCATACCATTTGCAATACCATAAAAAAATTTCTATGAAACCATCAAAATTCCATCGTGAAATTTTTAAAAATTTTTACATAAAGAACAATTACTGAAAATATGGTGGGCATTGTTTCATGAACAAAAAAAGTAGTAGGCTCTTTTATTATAGTGATAAAAACCTGAGAAAAACGGCAAAAAGTAACAAAAAAACCATTTCTATTTTTTTTTAAATTAAGTCATTTTAAAAATTGTTATGTACAGTTTTTTGACAAATTCCTTAGCACAACTCTGTTTAATAATTACTTTATCGTCATAAAAATATAACTTGGCTAAATACTTAATGCTTGAATCTTTTTTAAACAATTGAAGGTGAAGCTTTACCTATCATTCAAAGAGAAGCTTATATGAATATTTCTTGAACTATACATAACACCAATATTTAGATGAGTTAATTAGTCGTAATAGTTGGTATTTGTAATTGGAGAATACAATATAATTTTTTGTTTGTTTTGGGTTTAATTTGCTTTTCATATAAATAATCACCCTAAAACTTCTGTTTGTTAAAGAACAACTTTTAGTTAAATTTTAAAGTTTTGAAAAGCTTAGATATAATTAATCTCATATAGTTACTGCTGAAGCTATAAAAAAGTTGGTTTTCTTATATATTAATACTTTAAGTTAGTGTTAGTTTATTAAATTTTTAAACAAAACATATTGCATCTTCGTCATTTAATAATTGTAAGGTAACTAATATCAAACATATTCCAGCTTTAAAAATATCTGTTTATATTGTTTTTCAAGTGCAAAATGTTTTTTGTTCTTTTTGATAGAATTTTTTAGTTTTTTTCTCAAAACCTTTTTGAAACAGTTTAATCACAAACTGCTTGCTGAGTTTACACAAAAGTTTTTAGTAAAGCTACATAGTACATAACATGTTCGTGAGGCAAGTAGTGGGGGCTTTTTTAGTTCTCTGATTATTTTTAGACAAAAGTGTAGGCCACACGGGATTAAATTTTGTAAAAAAAAATGGCCGCTAGAAGAAATTTCATAACTAAAAAGATTTTTTAAATCTCTAGTTTTTCATCTAAAGTACCTTCTTACAGACAGTTACTAAAAATTTGAAAATCTGCGTAAACATTTACTTTTCCATTATAAAAAAAGGGAATTAGCTGACAATTGTTAAAAAAATTCTTCAAAAAAGTACACTAATTAAACTATCTAAAATATTTTTTATTTTTAGAATTATAGAAAATAAGTTCTCTATCAGGTGCCCCCCTAAAAAATAAGTTAAAGCAAATGAAAATATAATAATCTTTAATCAATAAAACAAAATAATACTTTTACATGCAATATTTTCAATTGGTGAACGTTTGAAAAACAGCAAACTACAAGTGTTGTTTAAATTCAAACTATACATGATTTATCTGACAACCTCACTGATGTATATGTATATATAACCATTTCCATGTTTAATTTAGGCCACAAAAGATCATCTGGCACGGCTCAAATGAGAGAGGAGAACTTTTAACAGATAAAATCTGCAACAAATGGCACACAAGATCCAACTCAACAGTAGCCGCAGCCAGCTCGCTAATGAAGCACAAGCTGCTGAACCAAGAGGAATACACCTGTAATAATGCGTTTATTGTTTTATGTATAGAAATCTCATCCAGGCGAGACTGAAGTGTTGGGGGGTGGGGTTGAATCTGGTCATGTGAGGTGTGTCTGGTCTATCTGTGTGAGCCGTTGGGTGGGGTTAGACTGCTCACTCTCTGCTTGGTGTCTCTGCTGTGTACATGACATAATCTCCCTTTGTACACTTTGATGTACACATGAGAGACTGACAGCCATAAAATATCTTGTGTAAAATAGCTTTTGAAGAAGTTCACTGTGTGGTGTACAGCTGATATGGACTTGTTTGTTTTTTTAGAACAAAAGTGTCAAATATGAAATGAAGGATTTCAAATCCCTAGCACTAAATGAAGATACAACTCTGTCTTTGCCAGTATTATGTTTTAGTCTACAGAGTGGGTACAAAATGTTGAGTTAAATAAAGGGAAGTACAAAGTTAGATGTTTCTCTTTAAGTACGTCAATTATTGAGGCGTACTTAGAAAAATGTTTTATTTTTTTATTGCATAAAAATTGGAACAAAATGTACATCTAATTATAAAAAAAAGTAATAAAATTAAATGTAATAATGTGACTAATTACCAAAGATAATTAAAAAAGATAAAGTAATGTATCAAAGATAAGAAAACTGAATGGGTTAGTTTGTTTGTGAAATGATTTTAACTGTTATCATGTATTTTAACGAGGTGAGAAAAAAGAGCGGTTATAGTCTTGCGCTCTGGTCTATTTATTTTCATGTGATTAGTTGAGCTTTTTTTTGTTTTGAAAATGGTTTTTATGTGTGCTGTTTCAAAACTCCTGTTTCATCTGTGTGCTAAGTGTGTGTACATTCAGTCACATCTTTTCATGTACTAAACTGTTTGTGTGTACATAGTCCTCCAGTGTACAAGCTCAATGTGTACAATCTAAAGTAGAGGTTGGAGCGAGGGCTCTTTAATTACATGTAAATACATCTCTCTCTGATCACTGGAAGGTGGGGGACTGCCTGAATGGGTTCTTTTAGCTGCTGGCTTTGGGCTAAAGCTGCCCCTAAAACTGAGCTTAAACTGTATCCAGCTGTGAGCTAAAGCAGCCCATAACTAAGCTTAAGCTGCCCCTGAGCTAAAACTACCCCCAGCTGTGAGCTAAACCAGCCCAGTGTCCCCAGCTGTGTCAACCTGCCCCCAGCTGTGAGCTAAACCTGCCCTCAGCTGTGAGCTAAAGCAGCCCAGTCAGTGTCCCCCAGCTGTGTCAACCTGCCTTGTGAAGTGAATGTTGAGAGAGGCCAGCTCATGTGATACTTGTTAACATGGCATAATCAACCATTTCTTGGCAATACGATGTTCTAGCAAGTCATGTTTTTACCCACCGTTTTGTTCCTTGATGGTCTTTTGTTCTTTTGTCCACTACTATGTTGGTCATTTGTCCTTAACTGTGATGGTCATTTGTCCACTACTGTGTTGGTCATTTGTCCACTACTGTGTTGGTCATTTGTCCTTAACTGTGATGGTCATTTGTCCACTACTGTGTTGGTCATTTGTCCACTACTGTGTTGGTCATTTGTCCACTACTGTGTTGGTCATTTGTCCACTGCTGTGTTGGTCATTTGTTCACTACTGTGTTGGTCATTTGTCCTCTACTGTGTTGGTCATTTGTCCATTGTCATATTGGTCATTTGTCCATACTGCATGCCATGTACACAGGATATTTTCTGTTTTCTTCATGTAAGACATTAGCTCTGTATTTATCATCCTCATAGAGAAGACTTTAGTAGCCCATACTGTTCATGTTTGTTTTCGTCATTTTTTAACTACACAATTAGTACCAAAACATTGTGATAAAGTATTTCATTTCATAAAAGAGTTCTCTTGTTTTTTTAATACCTGCTTGTGGTCAATTGTCTAAGCTGGTCTGAAGTATGTTGCCTTGACCTTCAAACTTGGTCATGTGACAAGTTTCTCTTTCCTTCCGTGCCGTGCTAGAGTGTATATTAGCATAACTCATTCAAATGTATATTATTGCCTAACGCTTTGTTAGATTAACCTCCCTTATGTTATAAATTAACTCCTTTACAACTGAGTTACTGTACCTATCAGAGAATATCTTTTATATTTATGCCCTAACATGTTTATGTCTCTGCTTCATACTCTTACAATATGTTTTTGTTTTATAGCTTCACATTTTATTCAATGAAGTAAACTGAATGTATATTTTTTAACAAAGATAAGATTAGTTATATAGTTGGCTTTAGTTGATTCTATTTAACTATTGACGTTCAAATAATTCGATTTTTAAGTTTTTCATTTATGTAAACTGTATTTTTTAAAAGATAATTATGATAATTATTAAATAGAATGAATAGATCACTAGATCTAGATGTATTTTTCACAAAACCTTAGCAAGCAGTGGTCCAAAAAAAGAGAACCCGAAAATATTTGTCTTTCCAAATCCTGGATTGGCAGTATATTGATGGTTCATCTTTTATAACTAACTTCCCTGCTTTATCAAAGAAACTTTTCAATGATGTCATTTACAGCTTCATTTTTTAATATATGAAACTATCAATTTGCTAAATCTAACTAAATTATTAAATTATTATGAAATGTTAAACACTTGTCTAATTTAGGTATGTATGAAATAAAATCGTTAGTGTACCATAAATGAAAAGAGTGAGAAACATTTCCTCTTAGTATTTCATTTTTTTCAGTTACTGATAGATAAGAAATGATTTTTTATGTGGAGATGGTGACAAATGTAAACTGGTAAATCATTTCAAAAAGCTGCTTGTAGTTGAATGCTCTCCCTTTAAGAAAAAAGGTCAACCTCATTTCTGCGATTGTCAAATCTGTAATGTTTCTCTAGCTGTTGTTACTATATTTAGATTATAAGTGAAGAGTTCTGTGTAAACTTACACCACTAAACAGAACTGAAGATTTAAATAAAAACCAAAAAACAATGGTGCTACAATTCTATCATTATATATAAAATATGCAACAAAATTTTAATTTGGCTCGGTGTTAATTTTTCTTGTTTCTTATTGTAAGTGTTGTGTTGTTAACATGTTTACATTGTTGAATCAAAGCTTTTGTTTAGTTGATGAGTGTGTTATTTCTTAGGTAACCGTCCACACAACTGCCATTGGCTCACAATACCAAACTGTAGGAAGTCCTAATGAGTACTCATCATGCTAATGACCAATACCCATGAACGTTTTATACATCTGGACTTCATGCTTGATGTAAATGTTTTAATACGTCCAAGGACAACAAAAACTAATTATTACTTCTGCAAAATTTCAACCTTTTAACTGTAAACACTAGACACACAACTCCAGCTCCTCTGTCAGACTAGAAAGATATTCATCTCAATGATCTCTTTACTCTTATATATTATTTGGAATATTTCATAAGTAAGTAAAGTTCCCTTACAAACCTGATGGTATATGGTGCAAGTAAAGTATATTTCTTCGTTTCTGTGACCTTGGCATATTAATGGATAGCGTGGTTAGATACCCATTAGAGCTGGGTGAACTCAGGGACGAGATTTTACTTAGGTCACAATCTCTGCTTACTATTTTATTTGCCTGTGGGTTTACAGTCTAATTATTGATCATGAGGCAATGTCTTTGATACTTTTTAGATATGTGCATAAATTTTGGAATTAACAAAGAAATTGTGACATTTTAGATATGGTTAAAAATTTAGTTACAAGATGCTTGATAACAGACACAATTTATTCACATTTTCGGAGTCGTCGAAGTGCTTGGGGTGTTGTTACATAGGAGCTTACATTTTGTATTTTTTAAACAATGTAATACTTAATACGTGAGAGATTTATTTATCTGTAAATAGCACAAACTTCTTACTTATTTTACCCACTCCACAAAACGTTAACTCCTTTTATATACGCTCCACACAATTTGGTACCATAAAAAGATAACGAATCTTATAATCTGAATACAAATCTGTTACATTACAACATTACTTAAAGTTAAAGTAATAGCAATGACTAAGACTTAAATTGAGTTCAAATAATGTGCAGGAAAGCCTTGTCAAATTATTCACCAAAATGTACAGAAACTAGAATCTAGAAATGTTGCAAAAATAGAAAAAAAACTTTAAAAAATTAAAACGAAGACATCAGAAGATAATAACAATATAAATTGATTATATAGATCTAGGCCTAATTACTTAAATTAATAATTATAGATAGATATTTCTCCGTGGCATATCAGTAAGCGGTAATCTATCGTTTTTGGGTAGGTAAAATCGCCCGCGACTTGTAATGTGAAAACCAGGTGACTCCTTAAATTTTAATAATTATTTCACATTTTGAGGAGGATTTATGTTTTTTAAAATACAAAAATGTTTCCTTGTTTCATTTATGTACCTGTTTTTAAACAATTGAATTAAAACTTTTCCGTAATAAATGAAGATTAGCGATGTTTCGAACAGATGCAACCATGCTCATTTACTATAGCAGCCATTTTGTTTAAGTTTTATTTTTATAAGCTTTTAGCGCGAGATTCAGGGAGAAGCCACTCTATTTTACAAATGGCTGCTGTTTATATATTATATAGCAAATCTTGCTCTCAGACACTGCTGTTTAAAGTTAATTTCTGGCCTATAAGTATATAGAGATATTTAGCTATTGATTTAGATCTAGATCTAGGTTTATTATTCATTTATCTATAATATTTGACACAAACATATGACTATACACTATACTTCTATTAAAGCCTTGACAATAAGGTAATGTTTTCGTACATTTTAATAGCCGCGGGCGATTTTACGTATCCAGAACGATAGAATACCCAGTAAGCTTAGCTCTAGATCTATATATCATAAAGATATTAGACGACGAGAAAAATGGCCCGTTGAGGAAGGGTACAACGGGCGCTAGGCTGATAGTGCTGTCTCTTTTCTCTAAACTAAAACCAACCCACCCCCCCACACACCACCCCCACCCCACCCCCCCACACACCACCCCCCACACACCACCCCCACCCCCACCCCCCACCACACACCACCCCCACCCCTCACCCCCACACACCACCCCCTCCACACACCACCCCCACCCCCACCACACACGACCCCCACCCCCCCCCCCCCCACCCCAAAAAAAAACATGTCTACCGTCCCATTCAACGAAATATAATTATATACTTTTTCCAGTGTCCGCCCCCTCCCAGAAAATTCTACCCCCGACCCCGAAAATTTCAAGTACCCCCACCCCTCTCCGGGGAGGAAAAAGTCTGAAAGAAACACTGAAACCAACCCCCCCCCACACACCACCCCCCCACCCACCCCTCCACCACCCCCCACCCCCAAAAAAAACATGTCTACCGTCCCATTCAACGAAATATAATTATATACTTTTTCCAGTGTCCGCCCCCTCCCAGAAAATTCTACCCCCGCCCCCGAAAATTTCAAGTACCCCCACCCCTCTCCGGGGAGGAAAAAGTCTGAAAGAAACACTGAAACCAACCCACCCCCCCACACACCCCCCCCCCCCCACCCCCCACCCCCACACACCACCACCCCCCCCACACACCCCCCCCCCCAAAAAAAAAACATGTCTACCGTCCCATTGCAAGAAAACCACTTTTTAGATCAGACACATTAATTAGGCGGTAATTTTATTATAGAGTATCGATGAGGAAATTTCTTTTGAGTTGGGGAGGGGGGGGGGGCTCAGACGTTCTTACGCGGGGCTTCGCCCCTACCCGAAGAATTGTATGCAAGAAACTCTTCACGCAAACCATTTAGATTAGACAAAATTTCCTTTTTATTCAATGTTTACGCGATAATCAATGACGTCATTATATTACTGTGTGCACTTTCCGCCTTGAGATTATTTTCAACTCTATGCTAAATGTGTCGACGTCATACTTCGTTTTTCGAAATACTATGCATGTTTTTAATTTCCTTGTGTTTTCTCTAGAGCGTTCTTGTCAGACAGAGCGTTCTTGTCAGACAGAGCGTTCTTGTCAGACAGACAGCGAAACTATTATTATAGATGGTGGAGTGATCCACCTGATGGTTACATTACTTAAACAGACACAGTTTTCCCAGTTAGCCTTGGTACTTTATTCTTATACATAGACGGCTCAGACGACACGTCTTATCTGCGGCTCTATCTTTAGTCTTTAGGTAACTACTGAATAAATACACAGCAGATACACATCACGGTAATTACACGGAACACTCAAGGGACGTAACCAAGATATTTACAATACAAGGGACGTAACAATCACAAACAAGATTATAAAGTAACACTGAATGGTACTTGTAACGATTATTTTTAGCATTTCCTTTTCTTCTTCTTCGTTCTTAATTGAGAATATAGTGGAGGATTTAGACAACAAGCCCAACTTCGTGTATGAACTGGACTATGGTCTCCAGATAATAACCAGGTGCCCCATATAATTTTTCCTTGAGTGGGGTGAGTAGGGGCCAGTGTTGGGCTCGCGCCTGGCTATAAAGAGAACATTCTTGAAGGACGTGCTCGGTATTCTCCGGGGCCTTGCCACAAAGGGCATATTTCGCCACACCCAATTTTTAGTTTTTTATGCATATGCTAATTTAGTGTCAAATTGTAATATCCATCATTTTTTTATAGTGAGGGTGTGTGTCAGACCACATTTGTGTTTGCTTGTTTTTTATTATTCTTTTGATTTCTTTTAGATGTAGCGAGATTTCTGGTTGTTTTTTCTTTCCCCTATTTTTTGCCAGCTGGTCCGCAATCTCATTACCCTGTATCTGGCAGTGGCCCGGGATCCACTGCAGCACAATCTTGCTGCGGGAATTTTTTAGCCTTTCTAGTGCTGTCCTAAGTGATTGAGTATAGGACTGGATTTTTTAGGGATTACAGGACAGATTTAGCATATCTAGGTATCTTAATAGATTTGGGAACTGCAATAATATTAGCTATACTGTTAAGATGTCACTAAAGAGTACATGTACACGTGTCGACAAAGTTTGGAGCGGCTTGTGATTTTTCTAGCGTAAACATACCGTTAACATGTAGACAAATATTTTCCAGTGACCGCTAGTGACCAGATATCTCAGCACTTGATTCGCCCTGACGTGTGGACACAGACAGTGGCGTAGCGAGGTCGGGTGTCACCCGGTGCGGCACTTAATGGTGTCACCCCCCCCCCCCCAGAGGCGTTGGGACCCTTCCCGGGAATAAACTTTCAAGTTTTCAATTTGCACCCCCCTCACGTTTTTCTCTATATATTTTGCTATTTTTTGCCTTGGTGTCACCTCCCCCCCCCCCCCGTAAATGGTGTCACCCGGTGCGGTGGGCACTCCCCGCCCCCCCCCCCCCCTCGCTACGCCCCTGGACCTAGACGTTACTTGGTGTTTTCAGGGTCACATAATTAATGACTTGGGTTGGGTGGGTAAAGCCAATGTAATAACTTTTACTGATTCGTTTAATAAAAAATTGACGAAAAACAAATTAGTTATGTTCTATGTAAAAGATATGAATGTATAGTGTGATTTTTGACACGTAAATATAAAGATTATCAGCGCTTAAATGTAGTAATTTGTTTTGAAATATTTTGAAATATTTTTTCGTTTAAAAGTAATCCTTTAAAAATTAAAATAAAACTCCACTCAAAATTATACTTAACTAAAATAATATGTAAGTAAAGGTACAAATATTAAAACACAGAAGCTAAAAATAGGTTCAAAGTTAAAACAAGTTAATTAAAAAAGTCTAGTGACATTTGTGCGCAATTTCCTTATGTTATCTAAAAATAGCTCTGACGTATAATGTTGGGGTGCGTTCAAGCTAGAAGAACAATCGGTTTGTAGGTGTTTATGTAATTTTAAAATTTGTGACCGAACGAGAGAATATTTTTGAAAACTTTCTTCGGCAATATTGTTCTAAATTATGACAGGAATCGATTGGTACATGTTTCAAGTCGCTAAGTGGTCTGGTTGCCGAGATATGGGCCAAAAACTGCTTTTTTTTTCGAGATTTTTTGGCTTTTCTGGGAAATCCATGAAAGAAACCCGGAATTTGTATGGCCTATGTTCATCCTTGTAACTTGCTTAACATAATTGCTTTTGGAACTAGTCATCGATATTGCTTCGTTGAGGAGGAGATACGACTTAAAGCTGCGGACACACATTCATCCATCCATCCATCCATCCATCCAGAAATGACGGGTTAATAAACGCAATTCTCCAGAATGGAAATTGCGCTAAAAAAATTAAATAAATAAACTAGTCATATAGCACTTACTTTAATTTTGCATTCAAATTTTTTCTGAATGTTAAACACGTAAATAGTCTACATAGCGAACGCGCTGAAACACATCCATAAAATGATCGTCTCTAAACATTGATATTCAATCTGCATGGTGTCATTGTACTCAGCACTAAAGTTTACCTGCACTTAAGGGGATCAGTGTTTCTTCCAGACTTTTCTTCGGGGGGGGGGGGGGGGGCAATAGATATTTCGGGGGGGGGGGGGCAACATTTTTCGCCGGGGGGGGGCGGACACTAGTAAAAGAATATGCTCGATATCTCGATATATAAATTCCATCTCGTTCGGGGGGGGGGGGGGGGCGGTAGACTTTCTTCGGGGAGCTCCGCCCCCGCAAAGAGATGCCTGGAAGAAACCCTGCAGCTGATAATATTTGGTGCAGCTTGTTATTGTTCTAGCTTAAAACTATTATAAGTTGGTGAGTATAAACATCAGCTCTTTTACAACTTCATGTGCCCTTTACGTGTAAGTTGGCCGTATGTATGTTTTTAACATTCCTAATTTCAATTTTTTATATGGCGTATAATGTGTTGTTTACTCTAATAAATATTAGTAGGTCGATGAGGTTTAGTAACCCATTATATTACTAAATGTAAGTATGTATATCAGGGGCATACATATACTTTAATTCTGCCTCATCTAACCTAAAAAAAATATTTAAAAAAAATTTATCACCATAATTTTTTGTTTGTATGAAACAAAGATATTTTAATTTTTGGAAGTGAAATAGGTTACAATATCTATATTCATTAACTGCGGCATTAGAAAGATAAAAGTAAACAGGACACTATTTCGTGTTTCATTTAGTATTAAGGGGTCACTACACCCTGTAAACCAAACTAGCCCACAGTAGAGATAAGCAAGTAACAATATACTATTATTAATAGCTTTAAATTAAGGGCAGCAACTGCAAAAAGCTTCTTGAGGATTTTATTTTATTGATTAATTCCCTTTGACCACAATTTTGATTGAAACAAATTGCAGCTATCTTTTTTGTTCTTAATTATTGCAATATTGGAGGTATTCCAAAAAAATAATATTATTATTATTACGTGTCAAAATATTATACCCATACAGCCCGACAACCCCGACAACAGCCTACTTGTCTTTCTGGAATTGCTTCTATAGCCTTTATCCATCCAAGATCCATCTACAACAGTACAAGGCAGTTGTTAGATTTCGGAGTCGTCTCTCACACTTGAGATGGCTGTCTTTATCAAACGTGCATCATTTGCCCGGAGGTTCGAACTCGGGACTTTTGGAGTTAGCGACCAGACCACGCAGTCAGTTTAACCCACGACTGACTCATGACAATCTTATTTAAACAAATTTGCCTTTATTGAAAAATACTATTTTATGTGAAGTAATTGATACAAAGTTTATGGAAATAGTAACTTGTTTAATATCTTTAATTATTTAGACAAGGAACTCAGCGTTGAGCGGTAGATGACATGTTAGCCATCTAACCTGGAAGTCCATAGGTTTGCAATAATATAATTTATCCCAGTAATCGAGAGCGTAACTCGAATTTACCAACCATTTTTAAACGTCAGGTTTGAAAAAATAATAGATCTACATCTGTGCAGAGAACTATGAGTAAAGTAAAATGTCGTGCCATTAGTGTTTGTACGTATGAAATATATGAGGCTATATAAAGGTAGGAAGTAAATTGTGTTTCAGTGTTTAATAATCATTAAAAAAAAAGATGGGGTTGATGAACTGTTTATATTGCAATGTTTTGCTGTTGTAAAAACACAGTTACTAGAATTGTGTGGGAATTATGTTTATTTTCAGCAGACATATCAGCTACACTTTAAATACGGCCATTAAAATCTAAGTTTAATTGACATGATCAGGTAATTCGGTAGACTTTGTGGCCATTTTTTTTTATATATAAAACGATCTTTAAGCGATCTTTAAACCGTTTGATTACAAAAAAACATATGTAAAAAAAAAACAGTTACAAACTTGACTGCCGACATTAAGTCTCAGCTACAAACTTGACTGCCGACATTAAGTCTCAGCTACAAACTTGACTGCCGACATTAAGTCTCAGCTACAAACTTGACAGCAGACATTAAGTCTCAGCTACAAACTTGACTGCCAACATTAAGTCTCAGCTACATACTTGACTGTCGAAATAAATTCTTAGTTACAAACTTGACTGCCGACATTAAGTCTCAGCTACAAACTTGACTGCCGACATTAAGTCTCAGCTACAAACTTGACAGCCGACATTAAGTCTCAGCTACAAACTTGACAGCCGACATTAAGTCTCAGCTACAAACTTGACTGCCGACATTAAGTCTCAGCTACAAACTTGACTGCCGACATTAAGTCTCATCTACAAACTTGACTGCCGACATTAAGTCTCAGCTACAAACTTGACTGCCAACATTAAGTCTCAGCTACAAACTTGACTGCCGACATTAAGTCTCAGCTACAAACTTGACTGCCGACTTTTCTCTTCACTACCATCGTGTTTTGTTTATCATCAACACAAAACGTTAAGATTATCAACGATAACAAAATGAATGAAAGAAACTTTGAAATCTTGTACAAATTTATTGACATCCATACAGTTTGTAAATAAATACAAACAGATTGTAAACAAATACAAACAGTTTGTAAACAAATACAAACAGATTGTAAACAAATACAAACAGTTTGTAAACAAATTCAAACATGAATTAAAGTATAAATAAAGATAATGATGGCGATGACAAATCTAATGTGGAGGTTTAAACAAAACAAAGATACAAGTGTAGCCATAAATATTTCATTTCTCAACAATAAACATTTGTTTATATTTTGTTTATGTGTCTAACAACTCTAAACAAATGTCTGAAAGAAACCAAACAATTTATTTCTTGTCTTCACCAGAATACAAAGTTGCTGATGAAGACATTCAAGCCTTGACACGCACAAGTTTAATGAAGGGAGCCGCCATTTTGTTTGTTTACATTAGACAAGGGGAGAGAACCAACAGTTACATTAGACAAGGGGAGAGAACCAACAGTTACATTAGACAAGGGGAGAGAACCAACAGTTACAGATGGATCAACACACCACATCCTCCCCACTATAATTTCCTTCAGAGTTTGATCCACTGTGGGGACGTGACCACAACCACACGACATATCCCGGCATGTAGACATGTGCTCCACTGGAGCCTGGACATGTACATGTTGTGTACGTGAACTTGTACCAACCTTTCCTCTCACGTATGTGTGTCCATTGTCCTACAGAGACCTGTTTAGGACAGCCATGAGGATGTGACACGATAATGGTCAACTTGTCCACATAACCAAATCTCCAGTATTTGTCCTCTACTTCCCTACATAGACGACCAAAGCGCCGACACATCTTGTCCAGTTCATCAACTAACTCTAAGTCACATGACACACATGTAAACATACACCCGTCTTCCTCAATGTCTGCCCTCTCCACCCTCCAGCCATCAAGACTGACCCCAGGACTTTTATTGTCATCAAAACCTAAAACACACCTGGTCTGTCTCGCCTCACTGTCATCAAACACCACGTGTGTGGCTGTCCTCACATGAACCTCCCCCCACACTTTGCTGGGTGTGTCCGAGTGTTGACACTTGCCACATGGACAAGTGCCCTTGTTGTCACTCTCTGTGTACTTGTACACACGCCACACCCTCCCCGTCCCTGTCCTCAACACGTCACTTCCTCTGGTGTTATAAAATGGATACTGACCACTGAAGCATGGATCAGACTCTGGTCTCTCTAGACTGGTGTACTTGACCTTTATCATGACCGTTAGGGCAGACAAAGCTTTGATTAGCTCCAACATGATGACGTCACGGTAACGTGAGGGGAGATGATCCAAATTAAAATCATTAACAGGTATAAAATTGACATGACCTGGATTCTTCTTACAGCCGGTATAGTGCTTGTGTAAGTCAGCTTCACCTCCATAGCAGATCTCAGCTTCATGATGTCCTGGAGAGGTACAAGGGGAGGTAATTGAGATAAAGGGTAAAATTTAACAATTATATACATCTATATTTTTTTAGAGACAGCCTACACTGCAGAATATTTTTAAATGATATTTACAGAAATATCTAGAATATTTAAGCTAATATTATTATCTACTTAAATGTACTCATAATGACAATTAAAATGTTTATGACATTAATAAATGCAAAAAATATAAGAACTTAGTAATATTACCAGGTAAAAATAACACATCATTTACACAATGAATGTTTACATAAAACATTGTAATTATCATTTTAGTTGTTTACCTGGGACAAAGCCAGATTTTCTCTGATTTGTATCCATTTTAAGATCTTTTACAGTCGTTATTTTTCTAAGAAAAAAAAAATTAATTATAGACTTATTAATTTACCAGCTGTAAATGGTAAAACATTTCTACAAATTAGAGTTGTAGCATCAGTACGTTAAACGTTCCTGCTTTTATATTATATGTATTATACCTTAAAGATTGTTTTAAATAAAACTTTTCTTAGAAGTCCTTGCATGGAAAATGTAAATAAATATTAATTTTAAAGCAATCTTTGACATCATAGAAATACACTATTTTTGCTGTAAACCTACAACACTAGCAGGCTATTGTAACCTGAATATCAAGATGTTGAAGGTGCAAGTTTGTTACTATACTGGTCTATGAGGGCACAATGCCATCTCACATGATCTATTCAGTTATTTACCTTTGTTAAGCTACAAATAATATTGTTTATCCTTACCTACAACAGCAGCAATAACTCTTCTTTCAGTCTGTTGTCTTAAAGTCTAAATATTCTGTAAAACCAAGGACAGAAAAGTTGCATCAAAATCTAAACATTCTGCAAAATCACAGACAGATGAGAAATATAAAAATGTAAGTCTTTACATAATTTTATTTAGTTCAACAATAACCAAAACTTAATTCCTATAAAATTATTTGTAAGTTATTTTCAATATGTGATAGTTTGTACTGTCATAAGTGGTGAGACTAAATGTAGATATTATGAGTGGGTTAAAATATTCCACTAGTAATATATATAAATATATATTGAGAAACACACAAATGAAAACTCACCAATAGTCATTTAGAAGTGTGGGTTGAATTTAACAACCTTCTTTACATGATGTCCGATGTCATCAGAGCCTGTGTAACATACGTCAATTATTTGGTTGTGTGCTCATATACTTCTATTTACTTTTCTGATGTGAAGAGGACTAGCCTAAAATGAATAACAATAGTTTAGGCTGGTATATTTTGAAATTATATCAAGTTACAATTTCATAATGCATACACATTTTAAATACTTCTTTTCACTGTATAAGTTAAATACACCAAATACCTCTGTCAAGCAAAAACAAATGTGAGACAATTTTTTTTACATCAGCGCACATACATCTTAAGAACAATATTGATGAAGTTGTATGTCTAATCAGTGTAAACTAGTGATGATAAATTTGAAATGAATAAAGGGATGTTATTAGTTCAATGTACTTTACGCATATATTTTTTATTTTTACGTGGCAGCAGCATTTCTCTAATAGACAAATAAATAATTTTAGAAGTATTAAAAGGCCTTATCAGTAGTACAGAATTTCACATATTGATTAAATAGTTTGGTACTTTAATGAAGATCTGTAGCTAGTGACAAACAAATAACTAAGATTAAGGTTACACTAATTATTATCTCATATGAGATAAACAATGATATTTTATTCAGTCAAGTACTAATTACTAATGAATTTGAATACTGTTTACAACTATAAGAAATTAAATATTTGTATACAGGCCTACATTAGTGGTGGTGCAATGTTTAAAAGTTGCAGTTCAACAAATAACTTTTAATAATGCTGATAAAAAATGCAAACTGTATTATAGGTAAATGTTATCATGACTAGCTGATCATTAAATTGAAAAAAAATTGTTTAAATTTAAATTGCATAATCATAATAAATAATAGCTCTTAGTTTATTATTTTAGATTTTGCAATAGGTCTACATGTTAGGACATTATATGAATTAGGCAAGGCTTGCTAGGCCTGTCAAGTATAACTACTAATAAATTTATTACTAATCAGCCCCTAGAACCGAATACATTAGGTAGGCTGGATATGCCCCTTGACATTATAATAATATAAGTAGAATCTTGTCTATTTCAAGGCCTAACTTAAATATTTAATAAGCCTAAATTACATTTTAATAAAATATATTTAGGCTGTTCAGTGGTCATTAGATGTTGCTAAATGGTATTCATTAAATAATTAATTGACTACATAAAAGAACATATAGACTATATATGTATATTAGGTAATCTCGCAATGTAGCATTAGTTATTGTTCCGGAATAGCAGTAAAAAAAAATGTAAATAGCAATAAAAGTAGTAAAACAAAGGCGTACAATCTGTCACACTTTTCAGGAATACACTGGAATGACTGTAAACCATTTTTTATTTGGCAATATCTTTTTTTACAAGAGAGCATTTAAAATTTGGATAGATTGATTTTAGTTGTATGTTAAATAATAAATATATTTTTTGCTAATAATTTATATTGCTAATCATATTAGCTACTTTGCTCAATTGCCCAAATAAATCAAATAAAGCAAGACGAAAAACATATTTGGGATCATTATTTTTTTAATTTCATTTATTTGGGAAGGGTTCCAAATAAAAGTGATGTCATCGACAGTCTCAAATATAGATCTAGATTCTAGACCTAGATGTCTAGTAATTAGTAATGATTAAGTAATGTTCTTCCTGAACTAGAATTGGAAATTTAATAAGAATCTTAGATCTGTATTCTCGAATCTAGAGTTCTAGACTCTTCTAGAAATCTAGAAGTTAAGCTAGATCTAGCTGCTAGATTTAGATCTATTTATTACTAGATTTTAGATAGTAGACACAGATCTAGATCTAGACTCGGATCAGTACATTCGTCGGACTCGTCGACATACTCAGATCAGGTTCACATAATACTGCCCTAATGCCTAATACTTAGATCTAATACTTAAATAATAATAATATAGCCTAATAGAACTAATAGTATTATTAGTATCTATAGTCAATAGTCCTATTAATATTTATTAAAATTAAGGCCAAGCTAATAATAATAATAACTAATAACATATAGGCCTACAGTATTATAAACTATTATACAGGCTAACTACTAGTAACTACAAACTAGAGTCTAATATTGATTTAATTTTAAAGATCTAAATCTAGATCTAGAATTAATACTAGATCTAGACTTCAATCTAGATCTACTTTTAATTTTTAATGATTCACTTGGAAATGCCAGCAGAAGTCGTCTGCTAGGATTGCTAGGTTGAAAGCCTAGTCCTTAAAATGTAGTTGGTCTATTCTAGATTTATATCGTATCGATACTTTCAAAACGTTTCGAATTTCACAATACTAGTACTAGATTTAACAGAAACTAATTTTTACTATAAAAATGAATCTTAATGTATAGTTAGTAATAGTAATAATGAACAATTTCATATATAATAGCAAAGGCAACGTATGTGAGATTTGCTTGTTGTTGTTGTGGTTATCGATACATCCGGATATTACACGTGTGACCAGATTTTTATTTGTAAATAGAAAATGCATGTGAAAACGAAATAAAAAACATTGAATTTCAAAACTTAATTCAGAATAATTCACATTACACATTACCAGTCTAGCGATCAGGTTTTATTGTTATTGGTTTTAATTTTTTAGCGTTTCTACGCTGTTTGCTTTGATTTTTTTAATGATTTATTTTTTAATCTAGGATTTCCGTTCAATAGATGCTAAAACGTTGTTTACCGAGGGAGGAGTGACTGACTGTACTGAAAGCAGATTTTATTTTAGGTTAGGCTAGGCCTACATAACGTAGATCTAGGCCTACTCAAGTGGTCGCCTATTAATTTTGGTTCGGTTAGTGTAACGAGGGGTAGGGAAATGTCTTTTTAAAGTGTGAAATCACACTTAAACCATTAAAAAAAAATAAACAGAAATTTAAAAGTTTGTTTAAAAAAATACGTTCTTGTTCCTGGTAACTTATTAGATTTCACCGCCGAATCTAACTTAATTTTGGAGTGGATTTGCTTACATTTTTAGTATTAATTTAAAAAGAGATTAGAGTTGTTTTTCTTTTCCAGCTAAATCAACGTAGTTAGCATAATCGTCATCCATTTTTGACGTCATCCCCCATTTATAACTTTTGACCCAACACCCATCCACATGCATCTTTTTTTGACGAACACCAACCAACCCACCATTCCACAAAACGTAGATCTAGTAGATGTATCAAACCTTATTTCAATAACAGGCATTGTGTAACTATTAGATTCTAGCTGATATACGGATAAAGGCAACTAATAAATTTAAACAGTTTAGCAATTAGTATTTTAGCTCTAGATCTACATTCTACCAGAAATAAAGTCTAACGGTAAACGCGTTTAAAACAAAAAAAAATGTAGAGGGTTATTTAGGTATAATAAATGTAGCTATTATCATATATTATGTAAATTACTAAGCTTTTCAGTTATGTGTTTTAAAATAGATTTCGATTTGTAAAAACGTTAGGCTTATAAGTAATATAGATCTAGTTCTAGAAAACAATTATGTTTTAATAAAATGGCTTACCTTTTTTAGTTACGGGCGTCGTCTCTTTCCCTGTGAATGCTGGGATATCTGGAATTCCCGTTTGCGTGGATATAAAAATACACTTCTTAGAAATGTATTTTTAGATTGTTTTCTTTCCAAAATGAAATAACTCGCCACGTCATTTGTAGTGGTCTTCAAAACACAAAGAAGAAAACAGTGTTTCTTCCAGACTTTTTTCACCGGGGGGGGGGGGGCACTTGAAATTTTTCGGGGGCGGAGGGGGGGGGGTAGACTTTCTTTCGGTGGGGCGGACACTGTTAAAAGTATATATTTTCTAAATAAATTATATAAATTTCATTTCGTTCGGGGGGGGGGGGTGGGGGGGGGGGGGGGGCGGTAGAATCATTTCGCCCCCCCCCCCCCCCGAAGAGATGCCTGGAAGAAACTCTGGAAGGAAAGGAATAAAATTGCGCATATAAAGATCTATTTCAGTATAATATATAGACAAATGGGGGACATCATCGCTCAGCGCTAACCTGAAAGTTTCTAGTTCAAATGAATAGAACGACCGTGAGTCCACTAAGCTCTAATGGGCACTATAGGGTGCTCAACTTTGGGGGAAACAAAGGCGGCTATTATTATGTTATTATTATGATTATATATTTGTGTCGTTTTAAATTTGTTTTCAAAAAGGTTCTGCTGTGATTTGTGCTTTAAAGGTCATACAGTAAGATGTGTATGTGCTGTTATATAATTTCTACTTGTATGATATCCAAATGGGACGACATAGACGCTAAAGCATGAGGATGATAGCCTGAAAGTTTTATGTTCACATCGGAGTCGACCCAGCTCTAATGGCTCTAAGTGGTATAGAAAGTGTATTTGTTAGTTTGATAACAGACATAATTTCTTTCACTTTTTAGGAGTGGGTTTTGTGGCTTAAAAATAATACATTTTGAAATTCTTATTAAATTAAATAATTAAATTACGTGAAACAATCGAGCCCATGTCTAACAACACAAACATCTGACTTATGTGACCCGCTCCAGGCCCAAGAAACGTTATATAGGCTAGATTATACTTAACCTCATTTCGCGGTAACACGTTAAAAATATTCTGGAAATCTATATGCTGACAAAAAAAAATGGAAAAGATCCTAAAAGTGAAGCGTTAAGTAAATTTTTTTGTTCTGTGTAATGTTAGGCTGTCTTTCTGAATGTGCGATGATGTGTAGTGGATAAGATGTAGCGCCCCGTAAGATGCCCCCCAACTACCCTCCCCATTGCCTACAGCGCTCTCCTCTCCCCACTACATGTGTTACATCGTTTTAGGACTGCCTTCTGCATTTATACGTTGTTAAGCAAAGTTTCTCTAAATTTGTTTTAATGTGCTATTGGCGTTATTTTGTTTATTTGTTGGTCGTTTTTTTCCCAGCTACAATTGAATTTGCTTTAATAGATTTAAGTGGTCTGGTAAGAAGTAAAAATATGTCCCCCTGTATAATGTTTGTCAACGCTATAAAAATTGTGAGACGCGATGTTTAAATAGTCTGTTATTCTAACAACTATATGAAAATAGCAATCAATGAAAACGCTGAGTCTCAGCTACAAACATGACGGTTGTGCCTGTTGGGAAGTGAATGGTTATTACAGGGAGGGTTCGAGAGTATGTGTGTTGTGAATTGTTTTTTTATAAATAAAAGATGGCGGTATTGTGCCGCGGTAAGCAAGGTATGTGAAGTCATAATGTAGTATCGTTGCTTCTGGGGATAAAAAATAGGGCAGTCTGCGTCTTGTCGTGCTATCGTACAGGTGTATTCGTTCGTCTTCGGGAATGTAGTCAAGTCTCCATTTTAGTTTGTAAAAGTCATCCAAGTCTATCTATGACTGTGATGTAGTGCAATAAACTATACAATAAAAACTATTCGGTTCTGTGAATTTGTTTGTATTTGATTAGTTGGAGATAAAGAATCAAAACTCTGTGTGTATCCAGTAATGTTACAAAAGTGCCGACATTAAGACTCAGCTACAAACTTTCTACCATCATTAAATATCAGTTAAATATCAGCTACAAACGTGGCATTTATACAGACGTTTCTCTTCATTACTATCGTTTTTCTGTAGTACCACTACAAAACATTAAGATTATCAACGATAACAAAATGAAAGAAATCCTTGGAATATCATAAAACTTTATTGACATAAAAATAAAACAATAGACTTAATACAAATAGCATAATGGTGTAAGAAATAAAGTAATTACAAGTTGGCACACAATAAAATGAAATTACTTAGAGGTTTTAGCATAACACTCACACACATACACTCACACATGAGTAGACAATTGGAGAGATCTAACTGAGAACACACATACACACAAACACATATACACACACGCGCGTTCAATGGAAGGATTTTGTTTGTTTACATTGAGTAGACAATTGGAGAGAACTAACAGAGAACTACAGATGGATCATCACAACAAAACACCATCCTCCCCACAATAATTTCCTACAGAGTTTGATCCACTGTGGGGATGTCTCCACCCCCAGCCATACACCGGTATGTAGACATGTGCTCCACTGGAGCCTGGACATGTACATGTTGTGTACGTGTACTTTGTGTACAATCCTTCCCTCTCATGTCTGTGTGTCCATTGTCCTACAGAGACCTGTTTTAGACATCCATGAGGATGTGACACTATAACGGCCAACTTTTCCACATCACCAAATCTCTTGTATTTGTCCTTAACTTTCCCACGTAGAAAATTGAAGCGCCGCCTCATCTTGTCCAATTCATCAACCAATTCTAAGTCACATGACACACATGTAAATCTACATCGGTCTCCGTAAATGTCTGCCCACCTCACCTTATAGCCGTCAAGACTGACCCCTAGACTATTTTCGTCATCATAACCTACAACACACATGGTCTGTCTCGCCTCACTGTCATCAAACACCACGTGTGTGGCTGTCACAACCCAAGCCTCTCCCCACACTTTGCTGGGTGTGTCCGAGTGTTGACACTTGCCACATGGACAAGTGCCCTTGTTGTCACTCTCTGTGTACTTTACCACATCATGCACCCTACCGGTCCCTGTCCTCAACACGTCACTTCCTCTGGTGTTATAAAATGGATACTGACCACTGAAGCATGGAACAGACATTGGTCTTTCTAGACTGGTGTAATTGACCTTTATCAGGACCGTTAGGGCTGACAAAGTTTTGATTACCTCCAACATGATTACGTCACAGTAACGTGAGGGGAGATGATCCAAGTTAAAATCATCAACAGGTATAAAATTGACATGACCTGGATTCTTCTTACAGCCGGTATAGTGCTTGTGTAAGTCAGCTTCACCTTCATAGCAGATCTCGGCTTCATGATGTCCTAGGAACAACACAGCCAACATTTAAAGAATACTTTTTTACAAATGATACAGAGATAGCCAAAATAGTAAAATAAGTATTATCAGCAATTTAAATGTGATCATAACCTATAATCAAAATGTGCTTGCTAATTAACATAATTTGGATAAAATCCTATCATTTTTGTTTTGCAAATGTTGAAATAAAAACCTTATAATTAAAAATTTTATTTTCTTACCTGGGACAAAGTCAGATTTTTTTTCTACTGTCTCCATTTTTAGATATTTTGATGTTATTATTTTCTGAGAAAGAAACGTCAATTTTAATACTTACATTAAGAATTTACGAGCTGTTGCTTAAAGAATGGTAATAAATAACTTTTCGATAAATTTCCGGTATTTATATTTTAAATTGTGTTATATTTTCCTGCTTTTATTTTACTAAATGAGTTAATGTCACAGTGTGGGTAGTCTTAGTAGGCCCTATTTTTAAATTGTAAATTAATCAGCACGGCCCAATAACTCTTAATTCTATTTTAAATTTCATTTTAAATGTTATATTATTTAATCTCAGCATTAGAAAATAATAAATATTGTGTCTATACACCTCCTATATATATATATATATATATATATATATATATATATATATATATATATATGTATATATATATATGAAGGTCTCAGTGGAAAAAGTACTTAAGTGTATTTTGAGAGTTTTGAGAAAAATGAGTGCAAAGTTTTTAAAATTGATGCTGAAATACCAAAACAGCTGATGCAAAGTATTCGAATTAAGCTACTTCGGTACTTTTTCCATAGCCCAAATTTACAGGGATGGTTAAGAAGAAGTAATCAACTAATATACCGGTCTTAACTCATTTTTAAAAAAATGTAACTTAAGTACTTTTTCCACTGAGCCCATATATATATATATATATATATATATATATATATATATATATATATATATATATATATATATATATATATATATATATATATATATATATATATATATATATATATAATTTATGATATTTATGCACTATATAAATAGAAGCTGCAAAAAATAATTAAGATTTTTTGTTGATAGTCTGTAACGATAGCAGATTTCTGTAAAGATGTCTTACACATTGGAGGTCACTCAATATTCGCGTACCTTAGGTGATATTTAAAACAGAAACCTTTGTTTAGAAAACTTCTCAGCTAGTATATGACGTGATCGTAAAAAGGACGATGGTCTAAACATTTGAAAAATAAGCTATGTCAACATTTTATATACAACAAAAAGCTTGACACAGTTTGGGTATTTGCTGTCATCATCTTCCCATTTCACTCTCTATTAGTTTATTTTTAGATATTAATTTTTCCATAAGAAACTTCCTTGTCTTTTTAGGTAAAGGGCTAAAGACATTTAAAAATTTTCAACTGAATCATGCAACGTAGATGAAAAAATTGTATTAGTGTGTAAAATATATAAATATATTTTGACCCTCGATTATACATGAACAGAAGATTATAAACGCGTAAAATAGAAACTTTGTTTTAAAATATAGTTAAAATTTACATTCCCATTTAAATAAAAACCCTTAGCAGCAGAGGCGTATCCAGGTTTCATTGTAGGGGGAGCGAAAAGAGAAAAAAAAGGCGCCGAATTTTTACACTTTCTATATACGTGTATTATATATATATATATATATATATATATATATATATATATATATATATATATATATATATATATATATATATATATATAATTACTAACTGCAGGTCATTACTTCGCTATGTTGTAAAATAAATTGAAAGTAGCACTCTGAAGAAATAAGAAAAAACACACAATAAGGCCGACAAAACAAAAATTGTATCAATCTAAACAAAAAAAAAATATACACACACTGCAACCAAAAACAATGAACGTAACGCAATCTATTTTGTAATTCTTGTAAAAAAAAACAACTTTCTTACATAATAATTCCTGGGAAATTATTTAAGACAAGTGAAATATGTATATATCTACACATTTAATTATACATGTCAAAACAAATAAATAATTACTATAGAATATAATGAAATTATTTAACACTATTCGCGTTTACAAAATGTTTTTGTCTATAATCAGAATTTAATATATCGTCATCATAAATGCTAAAGTATTACAGCATAATGAAAGTTTTTAAAATCAGATTTGGTATAAAACCACGCTTTTCGGTATAATGGAAAAACATTCGAAATAACATCCTACATTTAACTAAATTGCGGTCCTTTAGTTCAGATCATATATTTTTAATTAACTACTGTTTCTTTGTGTTCTTTAAAGATAATTTTTTAACATAGTGATAGGTAATCACTATCGCCCAAACTGTAAGAATACTACTACTTCATCGTGATGACGTTGTTGACCATGTCAAAATTTCCCCACCACTACGCAGTTTGCTCATAAGTAAATTTAAATAGAGGTGCCACATCAGTTGTATTTGTTTTTGTATTGTAATTTTTTTAAATTAATCACACGATTCAAACTGTATATATAAGGTAATTATGTGTGAAGTTTTATGTATAACATTTTCTAATTCAATTATTCGTAAGCAAATAGATTATACAGTTGCCTTAAACTTAACACCCCTCTTGCCAAGTCGTACTACCCGAGGAGGTTTTTTAAACATTGCAATGCATCATAATGGTTATTTTTAGAATGGCAAACTGATGCAGCTGTTAATACGTGTTGTAAACGTAGACGCTACTAGACTAGTACAATAATGTTTAATTGCTGCATGAAAAGAAATCTTGTGATTTACATAGATGTGCCGACCAAAAATATTTTTTTAACAAATATCATTGTTTAAAATTTTGAGTTTAAAAAGTTTCCAAAAAGGCGCCACTTTGCTGAAAATCGCCAGAGGGGGAGCGGCCGCTCCCGCTGCTCCCCCCCCCCCTGCGTACGCTACTGCTTAGCAGTTAAAATAAACCTCCACTCAAAAATATACTAAATTAATAATTTAAACACAAATACAAATCTTGAAACATTATCTTCAAATTTGGCCAAAAACAATTAATCATGGAGCACTTACTTTAATTTTGCCTTCCAGTGCCTGGAATGTTAAATACGTATGTAGGCCTACATTGCTACAGTACTGAAACACTTCCTGCCCTGTTAACCCTATATTATGGCTACAGTATGCTATATAGGGTTAGGGTGACGAAACTCCGGCTTGTACGCCCAACCACCCGAACCTACAGCCTTTTTGATACAATAATTAGAGCGTAACTCAAGGTATAACAAGTGTGCTATTGGTTTGACAATGTTATGATTTAGGTGGCAACATCTCAAGGGAAAATTAAACGAAACAATTATTTTCTGGAAGTCGGTTTACATTATGACAATATTGTTGATGTCAGTAACGGCTATGGTTTGAATTAGGTTTTTATGGGTCAAACCAAAAGAATATATTCATGATAATAGTTAAAACTGTAAGGGATATATAGTATAGTGTTAGGGTTTTATTTTAGGGCTAAAGTTCGTTAAATGTAACTCCGAGGGGTAGAGAAGCAGATGTGTGCTTCATTAATTTACAAAAAATAGAATACAAGTATTTAAAAAATCTCCATGAGTGCGTCTTTTAAATTAAGTTTAACATATAGGATCTAGTGTGGTTAAATGTCGGTGAAAAGTGGCGTCAAATGCTGAAATTGGTGAAGTAGATATTGATAATTTCAATCTGCGTGTCTTCTTAATGAAAACTGTAGGGTACCTACACATTTGGTGGGAAGCTTGGTACGGATTGTGATTGTTCAAGCTTACAACTAACTGTGATAATATTATCAAATAGTTTGTATCTGATCAGCTCTTTTACAACTTGATATAGGACTGGTAAGTAGGTCACCAACCAGTTCTATGGCTCGTGCAGGTTTTATTGAGCTATAAAACTGGTTGGTGACCAACTTACCAGCCCTATACCCGTTACGTGTTAGCGGATACGGTGTTAGTTGGCCGTATGTGTGTTTTTAACTTTCCACTTTTCATATGGAGTATAGTCTGCTGTATAGTGTGTTGTTTACTCTATTGTGTGTTATAGCTCGCAGTATGTTGGGTTCATAGATATAAATTAATTCTACTTCAATTAACCTTCCAATTTATTTTATTACCATTAATGTTTTGTGGATATGAAACATAGAAGGTTTACATTTTTGGAAGTTAAATGTGAAACAATATATATTTAGTTACTATAAAGCATTTGTAAGACAAAACAAATATTGAACTAAGTAGTGATATTGTATAATATATTGAACAGTTTTATACTAAGCACGACAACTGCAAATAGCTGCTTGGATTTTCATTTTATTGATTAATTCACTTAGACCACAATTTTGCTGGAGATTTATTCAATTACGAGAACTCCCCGAATATAATTAAGTATTACAAGTCAAGATTGTTACGCCCCCTTCAATAGTCCCATCGAAATTACTATGGTTTCGTAAACAAGAACAAGAAACGAATAAACACAATTAGCAACTATTTCTACAGTTTAATGCTATGATAAAAATAATAAAATTAACATTAACCGCCACATCTAATACAAAATGCTTCTATTTACAGCTGAAATAAAAGGTCCTTAGTGTGACTATCCTACTTGTCTCTAACGGTCAATTCTAGTCTAAGTCTACAGACATACCTTGGCGCCACCAGCTCTCGAGATGCGTCCCTGTTAGTCTACTAAGTCTGAACATTTCGTCCACTGTCCTCAAATAGCCGAGTCCAGCACCTAGAGTGGGAGCTCTAATTAAAAGTCCCCTTTGATCAGAAATATTTCCCAGTCATAAATTACCGACCGCCATTATACCAAACCGCAAACCACCGGTCTGGTTGGCCACACCCCAGGTTTCTCACGGCCATAAATCACAGCCAGTGTTCTTTCCAGACTTTTTTATTCGGGGGGGGGGGGGGGGGGGGGCAATTGAAATTTTCGTGGCGGGGTGGGGGGTGGACTAAATTTCCGGGGGGGGGGGGACACCCACACAATGTTAAAAGTATATATTCTCTACATAAATTCCATTTCCTTCGCGCGTCAGAGGCGTAGCTACGGGAGGGCGGGTGGGGCGGCCGCCCCGGGCGCCGACCTTAAGGGGGCGCCAAATTGAGTAGAAAAATAAAATAGCATGCTTATTCCGAGCTGCATTATAGTCGAATTTAAGAAAATAGAAAGCTTTTTGGTTCTACTGACGGCTTTCTACGTTGCTTTGTGTGATACCGGAAAAAACTATTAACGGTGACTGATGTGTTTGTGTGATGGGGGTGTGTCCTGTTTCGCTAACGTGAATATTTAATATAAATATGGGATGGGGTGGGGGCGCAAAATTGATAGTTCACCCCGGGCGCCGGAATGGGTTGCTACGCCTCTGGGGGCGGTAGACTCTCTTTGGGGAGTGGGGGGTGGAACTCGGGACATTAAGAGTTAGCGACCAGGCCACGCCTTCAGTTTAACTCACGACTGACTCATGACTAACTTATTAACCAAATCAGAGCCTTTATTGGCACATACTATTTTATTAAATGTACACTAATTGATAAAAAGTTTATGAATGTAGTAATTTGTTTAATTATTTAGACAATGAACGTCGTAGTAGAGTAATAGATGTCATGGAAGACCTAAAAGTCCTTAGGTCGACTATAAACAAATCATCCCAGTTATTGAAATCACAGATATAAATTAACTTGAACGAGCCGACCCGCGGCGTATCATACGCCGCTATTTAGTTGATTTATTTTCTACTTTTCAGTAATTCATAATTTGTGAATTCGACAGTACCAATGCTGCCACTAAAAATATTTGCTTTAAAACACTAACCCCCCTCCTTTCCCCTAACCCCGACCCTACACCCCCCCCCCCCCCTCGTGAAAGCAGCCTCCTCTTAGTTATACTCCTGTAAGTTTAAAATCGGTTCAAACTAAATTATCTGCCCCTAATAGCCGTCACTAAACCCGGCTGTACGGTTTGTAAACATTAACGTGACCACAGCTCAGCAGACCATGTGGGGGGGGGGGGGGTAGAGTGGTAGTGAAAGTGATAGAGAGAAAGAGAGGGGACTGTAAGGAGGCGCTTGCAGCTTGTTTTCTAACGGCTCGCAGAGGAGAATTATATATACAGATGTAGCCTATAAATCATTTTTACTTTCTCGTAGATCTATATACGAAAGTCTTGTAGTCGTGATACGGAAAAACATAATTTTGCAATCTTGTCCGTATGTCTGTGTGTCTGTGTGTCTGTCTGTCTGTGTGTCTGTCTGTGTGTAAACACAATAACTTGAGTACCGTTAGAGCTAGGTTGATGAAATTTCATATATAAGTATTTTATCAAAAACGTAGATCCGTATCAACTTTTGAGCGATTTCCGATAACCGGAAGTGGTTCTTTTTTACTTTGAATTTTTCAAAAGCCTATAACTTGAGTACTATTTCAGATAAATAAATGAAATTTCACAAGTACGTAAAAGATCTAATTCTCTACCTTCTGTCAAATTTTTAGTAATTTCCGTTGACCGGAAGTACTAATTTACGCTATTTCCGATTTCTCAAAAAACGCATGTAATTTTATAAAGTACTAATAATATTGCGCATTAGTATGCACATTTTTTTTTGGCGTTCGCTTAGTGTGCAATTCTTTTTTCTATGAGTTTCTATTCTATTTTTAAAAGTTTATTAAAAATTGAACAAAGTGCACACTTTATGAAATGTTTATATTGTTTATATTTTCCTGTTGTAAAAACACATTTGGTAGAATTGATTTTGTTTGTTTTTCGCAGTTAACTGTTTTACCAAGTATATTTATCTCAGAATATTAGCGGCTACACTTTAAATACGGTCATTAAAATCTAAGATTCACTGACTTGGCCTGACGGTCTATGGGGCAGTAGAGTTTACCTGCTTCTGTGACCTCAGCATATAAAGGGATAGCGTGGTCGGCACTATGCCCAGCCGCCTTTATTGTCCCTAACTTGAGTTGAGTATCCATTACAGCTGGGTGGACTCATGGACGGTCTACTGACTTGGCCCGAATTCGATCTCAAGATTTACGGGTTAGCAGTCTAACTATCAACCACTAGACCACTCTGTCTCTCTGTCTAGTAATTTAAGAAAATTTGTTGTTTTTGGAAAACATGCTATGTGATCTGCGATCGGTTTATTGTTTATGGTTTATATATTGTTTATAGTTTTATATATATATATATATATATATATATATATATATATATATATATATATATATATATATATACATATATATATATATATATATATATATACATATATATATATATATATATATACATATATATATATATATATATATATATATATATATATATATATATATATATATATATATACATATATATATATATATATATATATATATATATATATATATATATATATATATATATATATATATATATATATATATATATATATATGAATGTATTATATAACATAACGGAGTAAAAAATGTTTATCATCCACAGAAAACTTTCAGATTATCAACGATATCAAAATGAATGGAGAAAAGTATGTAATCTTCAAACCGTTTATTGACATCAGTTTGCATATTGTTAGTATCAGCATTCTTATAATTAATAATACAATATAGAAAAGCACAAGTTTTCAGAATTAAGCATCTGTTTATAATTATAATTTTGTTTATGTGTCTAGCAGCTCTAAACAAAAGACATGAAAATGAAAGAAAATATAATGTAGGGAGTCGCCATTTTTTTTTTACATTAGACAAGGGAGAGAACTAACAGGTACAGATCAATCAATACAACAATAACCAACCCTCTCCACAATAATTTCCTTCACAGTTTGATCCACTGTGGGGATGTGACCACCTATCATATCCTGGCAAGTAGACATATGCTCCACTGGAGCCTGTACATGTACATGTTGTATACTTGTACAAAACTTTCCCCTCATGTCTGTCTGTCCATTGTCCTACAGAGACCTGTTTAGAACAGCCATGAGGATGTGACACTATAACGGCCAACTTGTCCAACCCAAAAATTTTCCTGTATTTGTCCCTTGATTTCTCACGTAGACCTTCAAAGTGCTGCAACATCTTGTCCAGTTTATCAACCAACTCTAAGTCACATGACACACATGTAAACATACACCCGTCTCCCTCGATGTCTGCCCCCCTCACCCCCCAGCCATCAAGACTGACCCCAGGACTTTTATTGTCATCAAAACCTACAACACACTTGGTCTGTCTCGCCTCACTCTCATCAAACACCACGTGTGTGGCTGTGCTCACAAAAACCTCCCCCCACACTTTGCTGGGTGTGTCCGAGTGTTGACACTTGCCACATGGACAAGTGCCCTTGTTGTCACTCTCTGTGTACTTGACCACCTGCCACACCCTCCCCGTCCCTGTCCTCAACACGTCACGTCCTCTGGTGTTATAAAATGGATACTGACCACTGAAGCATGGAAAAGACTTTGGCCTGTCTAGACTGGTGTACTTGACCTTTATCAGGACAGTTAGGGCAGACAAAGCTTTGATTACCTCCAACATGATGACATCACGATAACGTGAGGGGAGATGATCCATGTTAAAATCATTAACAGGTATAAAATTGACATGACCTGGATTCTTCTTACAGCCGGTATAGTGCTTGTGTAAGTCAGCTTCACCTCCATAGCAGATCTCGGCTTCATGATGTCCTAGGAAAAACACAGCCAACATTTAAAGAATACATTTTTACAAATGATCTCGGTTTCATGATGTCCTGGAGAGGTACAAGGGGAGATAAAAGAGATAAATAGTAAAGAATTTCATACATCACTAATTTTTCTGAGAGACAGCCTACACTGCAGAATATTTCAAAATGATATTTACAGAAATAACTTTAAATATTCCAGGTAATATTATTATCTACTGTTATGTAATCCTAAACAACATCAAAATATTTATGACATTATAATACTTTAAAAGTTAATAACTAAGGAATATGACCAGGTTACATAATTTAGGCCCTACACTGAATGTTTACTTAAAACAATGTAATATACATTTTAATTGCTTACCTTGGGCAAAGCCAGATTTTTTGGGTATTGTATCCATTGTTAGATCTTTTAAATTTGTTTTTTCCTGCAAAAAAAATGTGAATTTTGGACTTTACCAGTTGTTGTTCAAATGATGGCATTAGATTTCTAGAAATTATGATGATGTTGCAGATATTATATTTTGATCCATATGTTATACTTTTCTGCTTGTATCTTACATATATTATACCTTGAGGACTGTTTTAAATTTTTAAAAATCTTATAAGTCCTTGCATGGACAATGAAAATAAATATTAATTTTAAAGCAGTCTTTGAAACCATATATAAACTTTTTTTGCTGAAAATGCACAATGTAATCATGCTGTTGTAACCAGAATATCAAGATGCTGATGTTGCAAGTGTATTATAATACTGGTCTATGAGGGTACAATACCATCTCAAATGATTTATTCCATTTTACCTTTGAAAAGCTACAAATAATATTGTTTATCCTTACCTACAACATGCAGCTGCAAATTTTTAGTCTCAAAGTCTAAACATTCTGCAAACACAAGGACAGAAATATAAAAATGTAAGACTTTACATAATTTTATAAAGACATCAGTTAAAAAATAACCAAAACTTAATTCCTATAACATTATTTATAAGCCATTTTCAATGTATCATAGTTTGAACTGTCATAAGTGGTGTGACTGAATAGTAATGATATACAGAGAAACGCACAAATGAAAACTCACCAACAATTGTGAAGATTTGTGCGTTTAATTTAACAATCTTCTTTACATGAAGTCTGATGTCATCAGAGCCTGTGTAACATCCAGTCAATTATTTGGTTGTGGGCTCATATACTTCTGTTTACTTTTCTGATATGAATAGGATGAACCTATAATAAATAACCTATAATAAATAACAATAGTTCAGGCCGGTATACTTTGAAATTATATCAAGTTACAATTTTATAATGCATAGGCCCACTACACAATTTTTAAAAATATTCTTGCCACTATATATGTTGAATACTTAAAATACCACTTTCAAGCAAAAATGAATATAATACCATGTATTTACAATATCAGGACACATACTTGTGCTATAGCTTAGTTATAGATACTAAGTCAATGACTGAAGTATCATTTTAAGAACAAGATTGATGAAGTTGTATGTCTAATCAGCATAAACTAGTGATGATAAGCTTGAACATGAAATGAATCAATTGGCTAATATTAGTCCACAAGTACTTTAATACATATTATTTTTACAAGGCTATTGCATATCAAATATATAATATTACATATAGTTGTGGAATTAACAGGTCTTTACCAGTAGTACAAAATTACAATATATGGATTGAATAGTTTAGTACTTTACTGAAAGACTATATTGCTATATATTGCTAAATTCCATAGGCCAGGCCTATTGCTAAGCCTCTCTAATTCTAATCAATAATTTCTTAGTATATATTTATAGGCCCTGCCCTATACTTATAAATTATTTTTGATGACATTACAATTAGATCTAGATCTAGTACTGAATTAGTTACTTAGTTAGGCAAGGCTGGCTAGGCAGTAGGCATGTAATTTAAATTAATCAATTATTACTATATCTAGATCTAGATTCGATCTAGACTCTAGATCTAAATTCTAAATGTATTACTATACTAATATACTTACAATGCTTGTTTGTTTATATTATCTCACGGCCCAAGCGCTAGAAGCGAACTACTAAGATGGCTGCTTGTTTCGTTTTCATTCATTAAGTGTTAGAGGGATAAAACAAATGACACTTGAAGCCATCGTCAGTTTTAGTAATCGGAACTACCCGTTATGTATGTTTATTAAGAATAGTGAGATGTACATTCGACATAAAGTCTTTATTTGTCTAGCAAACAGAGCAGTGGCCCGGGGGCGGGCAGGGGGGGGGGGGGGGGGGAGGGGGACTCTATTGGGGCTTAGGATCAACAATAATAGGTGATGTGGCAAAAGTTACATTAGCAGTAGCCGAAGGCATAGGATCAACAATAATAGGTGATGTGGCAAAAGTTACATTAGCAGTAACCGAAGGCATAGGATCAACAATAATGGTTGATGTAGGAAAAGTAACATTAGCAGTTGCCGAAGGCATAGGATCAACAATAATGGTTGATGTAGGAAAAGTTACATTAGCAGTAGCCGAAGGCATAGGATTAACAATTGGTAGAGACTGAGTCTCTACAACACCTTGCCAGAGCGAAAATAAATCAACTAGCTGACTGTACTTCTCAGTGAAGTCAGCATCACCTAATAATGACAGATAAGATGAAATGTCTTTCATTAGCTTTGAAGCTAACAAAAATTTCTGTTCAGGGGTTTTAATACTTTTAGTGGGCAAAATAGTTTCAATGAAATGGCCAGGAGAATTGGTAATGCTGGAAAACTCAGAATACATTTTCCTCTTGAACCTATGTTCAACTTTTTGAACGGAATTTAACTCAGAAAAATCTTTACCAATAAAAAAACAAGGAACAGAATGCTTATAGCAATCTTTAAAAAACAGCAAACAGCGAACAAGAACAACTTGCTGCTCTGAGCTCAAAAAAGCATGAAGGACAGGACGACCCCTACCATTATTGTCAACAACCATAATAGTTAACAATGGCAAATTATAAATATTAGTTTTGTAGGTGTTGTCCATCACCAAAACTTCAGGAAACTTATTTAAGGTATCTACCATGTCCCTAGTCATATACACTAAATAAACAAAATCCCCCCCCCCCCTCATTCCTACCAAAATCAACCCTCCCACCCTCACTCACTATCCCATTCAAAATCTTCTCTGCCTCTTGTTGGTCTGTCCCTTTTTTGTGTGTTGGCTTTAATTTCGCTCGCAAATTGCTGACATCTTTTGGTGCCACTGTCACATTCTGATCAGAGAAAATTACATCTCTCACATCGGTGTTGGAAATTGAAGTGCACCGAAGGAGGGTCTCAACAACTGGGTTCATGACCACACGACGTCTTTCTGGTAGGGCATCTGCCACCTAAAAAGAAGTAAGAGATCACTTGAAAACTAGAATTATGAGTTCTCTAACCAGTGCACTAATCAGCAACCAATATTGTAACACTGGACATGCCTCTTTTGACAAAACATGATTTGTATGTGTCATGTCTGACTGCACAACCTGTAGCTTCCACCTGTCATCCACCTGCATTGTTTTGACACGAAGTCTAGATGTGCATCCTAACTTCAGGGATCTTAAACAAAGGCAAAATATATAAGTCAGTTCTAATTAAAATTTAGATGTCACCCCCCACCCCCCAGACATGGGGACCTTTCCTGGGGACAAACTTTCAATTTTCGATTTGCACCCTCCATCAAATTTTTCTCTCTATATTTTTTTATTATTGCCTTGGTGTCACCCCTAAATGATGCCACCCGGTGCGGTCCGCACCCCCTCTCCCTGATCGAATTAATACAGACTATAAAACCCAAGGATATGTAAAAGATAATTATAAGTAGTAAAATAAACATAGAAATAGAAAATAAAACAACCACAAAAGGCACCATTACTAACTTTTGATTTGGTCTAATTCCTTTAGAAGCTGATTTCCTTTCAGCACCATGCTTACATTCATAAAGTATAAATTCATACACCAAATTCTCAGATTCAGTGGCTGAACATAACTGAAAAAAAACATTCAAAATTGACAAAAAAAGTGTCACAAAAGTCATTCATTCTAGATCAAGAATCTAATGGTAATCATGACGATAGGGTAATCTATCTTTTAGGCGTACATTTTTGTAAATTTCAAAACTAGATCAATAGTCCTATAAATATAATAAATGTTAATTAAAATTAATTATTAAAGGAGCGACCTGTTTTTCACATAACTAGATTTCTAGATGTAGATCTAGATCTAGTCGCGGGCGATTATACGTTAATACGTAGAATCTAGATCTAGATCTAAATCTAGACTAGATCTACCTACCTAAAGAAAGGGCAAAGCAATAAATTACCACAATGAAGAAATTGGATTAACTTTTAACTTACCTTCAACTTCCTAGATCTAGAACTTTTTTTAATAAAAACACAGTTCTGAAACTCCTCCAAAACTTTAATAGCAGCCTCCAACTCCTTGTAGCTGTCAAAACAACTGTTTAGAACAAAACGATCCAAAATCATGGCGTCCATCACGATAAAAACTTTCTTGTCGAATGAGCGGCTCTAAACTAGATCTAGTATGGTAGTATCCAGCCGATCATACAACGATTCTGTCGTTGAGATGATCCGCATGGGGTGTAGTATCACGAGTACTTTGAAGGCTAGTAGGCCTAAGCTTGATTAGGCTAAACTGGGCGGGATTTTCCACTGCTGTGATTGGCCAGTGTACAAATAGCTTCCGCTAATCTGATTGGCCAGTGTACAGATAGTTTCCGACAATCTGATTGGTCAGTGTACAAATAGCCTTCAGAAGGCTATTTGTACTTCACTACAAATAGCCTTCTGAGGGCTATTCGTAGTGAAGTACGAATAGACACTCTCTTATACTCTCCGTATCGCAAAAATTGAATAGAAAAAGCGGAAATCTGTGAAGGTCAGTCCCATGGTAGTCATTGATATTCCTTTAATAAATCCAGACTTTATATTAAGTATGTGATCCAGGGGCGGAACTACAGTGCCGCCAGACCCCGCAATGCGGGGGGGCCCAGACCGATTGGGGGCCCAAAAATCCTGGCTAAATTATTAAAAAAAAAAATTAAAAACAAAAAATTAGGTGGAGGTCGAGTTATCTTTCTTCTACAGTTACAAACAAACACGATAGTCGGCAAACGTCTTTGAGAAAAATGCACAGACTATAGCTCGAGAGACCGCCAGACATATAGACAACTTCAAAGACATAACCTACCGCACTTTTTGTAGTGGCGTCGATTAGGAGAACAAAAATGCATTGTTATATTGTTTACATTATTAAAATACATATCTATGATTGTGTGTTTAAACTACTGGCCTGAATTCTACAAAAAATATAATTATTTATTTCGATCTCATACATTTACAATTGCGTTCATTTTTACTTTAACAACTGTATAGATAAACTTGTAAAAGTTTAAGTTATCTCCCTTCAGCGAAGCATCTGAAATTTGACTGTGCCGGTACGCTTTGAAATCGGGCTGGGGAAATGTTGCGGCGAGGCGACTTTCCTGGTCTTCTAGACGATCGGAAAAAGTCGGCACTATTGATGTAGATGTTTATCGGCGCTTTCTTGTCCCCTTCCCTTCCCAACTCTCCCCCCCTCCCCCTCACCTCTACCCCTCACCACACCCTTACTCTTACAATATGATGTAATGCATAGATTAACGAACCGTCTATGAACTGTAAACTGACCACTTCTGCACATTTTGTTAAAGACACTAGTCAGTAGTTGTTCATTTACCTGATGAACAGGGGCGGAACTACAGTCCCGCCAGACCCCGCAATGCGCGGGGGGGGGGGGGGGGGCAGGCCGTTTAGGGGCCCACGGCTGACCAAAATTAATATTTTTTTTAACATTTTGAATTTAATTTTTGCCTTAATATTTGGTTTGTAAAAGAAAAACACTGTAGCTGCGGTACGATTATCTTTATTTTACAGTCACTATACCACGCTCTTCCGCAAAAGATAAAATCCATTACACAAACTACAGTGTAAAATATAGGCAACTCTTCAAATTTGAATGACTTCTTTGACTCGTTGCCCCCCTCCCCCCTCCCTTTGATAGCTAAATAGAGAACACGTAACTGTTTGACCGATCCTCCAAAGTGTACTGTGGCGGATGGGGCAGGGGATGGGGACCAAAAAGGGGGTTAAAAAATTGTCAAGACAATTTTTTTACATATTTAAAACAGTTATTTATAGTTGTATTTTTTAACCATCGTCAAGGCCGAGTTCTATTTCTCTACAATCAAACACACGCTGTCGCCGGCAAAACAACAAAGTCCATAGCACGAAAAGCCGCTTCATGTGAAGTGGGCTTTCATGATGCGGCATTGGTAGGGGACCCGAAATCCATTGTACATTTTTCAATGTTAATATGTGTTTGTGATAGTGGTTGAATTTGTATCCTGTACTATCTTGTATCCTACAAATAATTTAAAAAAATATAATACTAGAAACTTCAGTTTTATATACGTTTACTTGTTTTTGCTTTTACAAGAAATATCATAGTAAACTTCTAAGGCCTATACTTCAAATTATCTCCCCTGAGTAAGTTTTACAATGGGCGATGCTGACGTACGTAGATCAAGGCGTTTTGTTGTCCCTTTCAAGTTTTTTCCCGAGCCGACCCCTATCCCATCCCTCTTTCTCAACCTCATAAGTATCGAGGAGATAAATGTATCGTTTAGGAACTACTTCCTAACCGTACGATTCACCACTTCAGCACATTTTGTCAGACACTAGACAGCACTAGATCTAGTCAACAGATATTAATTTACTTTCATAGTATTAGGCACATCTAATTCACAAAACAGGGCAGGTAAGATTATTTTTTATATAATTATTTAGAAATTAATTAGAACGTTTAGAATTAATTGAACCTTATTAATAGTCATTTAGGTGGGGGTGTGTGAGGGTCTGGCTTTTTGTTACTCCCCCCCCCCCTCCCCTAAATCAGAAGTTATCAAACGCGTGACCTGACCACATATAGTTGTACATGCGAAAAACATTTTTCTCTCTATTATTATTATGCATTACTGCATCATTCACCCAATCGCCATGAAAACTTGGGAAGCTGTTGAGTACAGCCCCGCAAAGGTTTCTGTCATAGGCCTAATATTTGTACATATTTGAGTGGGGACTCCTAACGGAA